TCCGGCCAGGCCTTCAGAAGGGGAAGAGAAGAAAGGTCATCCTTTTGCAAACACGAGATTCAGCTATGCTGTAGCCAACACTGTGGAATATGGTCAGCTGCATTTCTGCCTGTGTGGTACCTTTCCAGCCAAGGAAGCCAGCAAGGGCTCTGCAGCTCGTCCAGACGCCCAGCTGGCTCACAGCAAGGGCAGCAGAGCAGGCCTGACTGCTTGGGGGAACTCCTCTATCTTCCCAAAGTTTCCCCTGGGAAATTACACAAAGGGAAAAGGGTGCCCTGAGGCATAAACAAGCACAGGCACAATAGCTGTGGGTGTGAAAAGTAATCAATGGGACTCAGGGATACATTTTTTAAGTGACATTTTTCTGCATGATGGCATCTGGGCCATGGGGCTGTTTTTAACATGAGCAGAGTCCATGCTGCTTCCATTTACTTCACAAAGAAAAGATAGTGTTTATCTTAGAGGTCGCCCAGGCAACTCCGGGGGCAAAAGCGACTAGCGCAGGAGCAAAATAAGCAGAGGAAACACGGGACTCACACGTCAAGCCAACTATGAATCACCTTCATGACACTGCTGTGGGATGGGACACTAGGACTCTGTGGGACTTTTGCATTAAATGAGACCTCAGGTGGGGCTTGGAAGAAATTTGAACCAAGGACAATGCCCTTCCCTAAGCTATTCATATTATTAACAGCTCTGACAGTAAATCATCATATAGCACCTTTTGTGGGTGCAAAAAAATTCACAGATATCAATTCGGTTAGCTGGTGCTGCAGGCCACTGCTATACTATTATTACTATTCCTATCATTACTATTGCCCCAAAGAGAGAGGGGAGGCTGGGACTGATAGATCAAAACGTTTGTGGGAGAGTGTACAACACAAGCAAGTTAAGTGTCAGCAACCTCACTGGGATTACATCAATCTAAATCAAAGTATTCTGGCCTGGACCACAGACAGCTCCACAGCTCATTACAAACCCCCTGGGACCGGGAAGGTTCCCATATCGTGAACCGGGCCCTGTCATCTTTGACAGTTCCAATCACAAGGCCAGGATGCTACATCTCCATTAATGATAAACCATGCTGCTTTTTCTAACAGAGTTTGTGTGCTGGCATAGGGCTTCAGCCTTCTGAGATGTACCTTGTTCTTTACTGAAATGCTGGGACACCAACTCCAAGGCTGTTGCCTGGTGCAAGAAACACACCTCTAGAATGGAAGCATTCTGAGCTCAGGGATGTGTTTTGAGTACCAGAAGTGGACAAGGCTCACAGGCCTCTTCCCACAGAAAAAGCCACTCCTGGTTAGCACATTGCCACAGATTTAATGCAAATCCCTCAGAGCTACTAGTAGATCCAGATGTATGTTTCGTCTGCCCTGGTCTACAAACCAGAAAGCGGTTTATACCTTGCCAGAGGAGGAATCAAATTGCCAAAAAAAGAGGACAAAAGACCACACCGATTTAGATATTTGCATATGTATAATAAAACCCCACATTAAAATCACACTCAAACCTTTCAAGTGTTTGAGTGTGATTTTAATGTGGGGTTTTATTGTTTAGAAATTAATTTGGATGCTGTGCTCTACTCTGTTTATTCTAAGACCATCCCGAGACCTTGGTAGCAGACAGTATATACAAGTTTTAAATAAACAAACAAATAAATAACTGTACATACACAATTTTAAAAAATACTTAGAATAGAATTATAATGTATCTCACCATAGTAGTAAAGACTAACTAAGAGACCCATGCGCCTGCTCTCTCTGCTGCCCAGGTATTCGTTGTGGTTGGGTCTCTTCAAGGACCCTGGGCTTTTCCCCCCTCAAAGTTTTTTGGCAGTAAACTAGTCATGGATGGAAAAGCCCTTTAAACAGAGGACACTTTCAAAGAGGACTCTCATCTGTAAAGCAGGACACCTGGTCACCTTATTGCCAACAACCCAGCTTTGTGTGTATGTGTGTGTGGCACCATTTCAGTGTAGTTGCAAATATTATGCTCCACATGATAAACTATTCAATAAAGAAGAATCAGTGGCAACCCCCCCTCGCCCTCAAAATCAGTCCAGGCTCTTTATGAAACTCCCTCCCCCTTTGTCTGTGTCATTTGTCTTTCTTTTCAATATGTGATCGTCAGTTTTCCTAATTTACTGTTGAAAGCAAAGATTAGACATGTCCTCATTAAATGGAAGTTGCAGCAGACCCTCTGCAATTATTTCTAGAGAGGCAGAGAAGCTGTATCAGCCTGTGTCACAGCAGAAAAGAACAACACATGGCCCTAAGCTATTCATGTTTAGATAGGAAAGTCCTGGTAGCTCCCAGTGTTCCTCTGGAAGCCATGTTTGGATAGCATTTACACAGTGCCATGGCATCTTAAAGACTCACACATTTATTATGGCTCAAGGGCTTAAAATATTCCCCAATCCAGCCTTCCTCAGGAATGCAAAAGGGAATGAAATGCTCAGCAGAAGACAAGAGGAAAGCCTCCCACAGAAATCTAGCGGGAAAGGGTGGGGGGGAATCTAATATCTGCCGTTTCCTGGGTCTGGGCAAGAAATAGCTAACTAGCCTCCTTGACTTGGACTAGTGGGACAGCCCACTGTGTGTGGGCAAGAAAGGCAGCATGCTCCAATCGTGCCCTCAGGAATGCTCATTTACCCTTAATCCGAAACGATCCAAGAGCTCATATGAAGATGGGGTGGCCGCCTTCCACCGCATGCCAGTGCCTCGCACCCTGCTGCTTGCTCACACCCAAGCCAGGTTTCTAGGGAAATCAGCGGCACCACCATGCCTCTCTCCACGGGAGAACATGAGCAGCTATCTGCCAAGGCAGGAGAGGGGCCACCCAAGGAGAATTTGTCTTCATCTACAAGGGTGCATAACACAGGCAGTGCTGGGGGACCACCTGGCATAGGCCCCTGAATGTTTGAATTACCCCAGCTGCCATAATACAAGCTTTTTCCCTTCATTGGTAGCCTTACAGTTACTAGGAGGCCTTAGGACTGAACGCACTGCTTGAGCAGATCAATAGGGAAAAGTAGCATGAAGGCACCAACCTTTTAAAGGCGAGGGGAGGCCGACATCTTTCCTTCCTCAGTCTGCTCATTATTTTCACTGCCCGGAGTCCAAAAATGCCAAACAGCCCCCCTGTCACTTGGTTTCTCTGCCTGGCTCTGCAGAGACCGCCCAGCCAGCTGCCGCTGGGTCACTGCACTTGCTGCCCTGGGACAGTGCAGGCAGCGAGGCCCTGGCTGCTCACACATCAGATGGCGTCCTGGGGCCTTCCTCATCAGCTGCACCGCCCAGCTGGCCCAGGCCCCTTCCTTGGAGCAAACAGCAGTGGGTTTGCCTGCCAAAGGAGGTTTGAAGGAGCAGCAGTGCCTGAAGTGAGGGCAAGGTAGTGGTGCGGTGGGGGTACGGTTTGCGTCAGCACGCTGGCATTCCTTGGCCCTGCAACTGTCTTTCTGGACTGCAGGGGCTTTTTGCATGATCCACATGGCGGGTGGGTGTGTAGCCTCCTTGGCATCAGAGGTCTGCTCAAGGCTAGAGAAGGGTGAATAGATGCTGAAGGAGGATACAGGCTTCATGCTCTTTTCTGGTATGTAGAGATTAGGAAGGCCTGGCCTCGACAGTCATAGGCGACCTATAAATATGTGTATAGATAAATAAATACACACACACACACACACACACACGGATTGCCATAATGCCTCCATGGGCAGGAGACCACTTACAGAAACTTGATTTTGGAAGGCATCGCTTTTCATATCACCAGAGAAAATGGTGCTTGCAGCCCATCAAGGTCCAGCTGGCCTTAGGATCACTGCTGCATCTGATTGTACTAGACTAGCCAGGTTTTTTTTGCCTGTGGGCTTCGCCTCTTGCTGCCCCTTGCATCTTTCTGCCTGAAGTTTTTCTTTGATATCAAATCCCCTCCTTTCCCTGTCCATTGGTCCCTTTTCAGAAAGAAGGCTATCCTTGGGAGACAGGGTTCTTTAAACACACACACAGCACACACACTCTACAGCCTGAAGCAGCTGTTTCGGGATGTCATAAAAAAAAGCAAATGAACCCTGGAGATGTAATGTTGCCCCATTGCACAGAGAGGAAGAATGGAAACTGCCTTGCCCAATTTGCCCTCTCTGCAAGGAAGGCCACTGGCAGAAACGGCAAAGCTCCTCCTAATCCAGAGTGAGAAAAGCCAGGCAAGCAACGCATGCTATTCCATTATGCCATGAAGTGCTATACACCTTGCTGGGGATATATTAACGGCCAAAGGATGACAACCACAATCATCATCATCATCATCATCAGGCTTGACTTTTCTCGGGAAATCGCAGGCTCTTTTCTGAATGGAGGGTGGTGGTGACTGGGACCAGAGTGTCCTTTCGAGCAGCCAGCGCTCGGTTGCTGAATCCACAGGTGGGCTTTCTGAGCCTGTAACAGCACAGCGGGGCGGAGGGATGGGGAGAGCAATGGAAAGCCTCGGCAGGTCCTTTGGGCAGCTGGGCCGGCCTCTGCCAAGAGCCTGCCCGTTACACTCGAACCTGGAGCGAATTCCGGCGGAGACGCAGGCGCCCCTCCGCCGCCCCCGACCCCGTGTTATGGCGCCGCTGACTGCGGGCCCACGCACGATGCCGCCCACGCTCAGCTCAGCACAAGTCCGGCACAGTTTCTGGCCCTGCTGCGCAGCGCGGGCCTGCAATGCCGAGCGGAGGCGAAGTGCCTCCGAGCCACGCAGCTCGGCGCGAGTCCTTGCGGGAGATCAGCCCCTTCCTTGGCCGCGCGCGGGGAGCCTTTGCACGGGGGCTCGGGAGCAGAGGCATGAGCCGCGGAAGGGCCGCGCAGGTCCGGCGCGCTGCGCGGAAGCCGCTCGTGCGAGCCGTGCGCTCAGCCTGCTCCTCCCCCGCCACCCGCACGCTCCGCTCCGAGGGGCGGCCGCGCAGGGCTTACGCGCGGCGGCGCGCCGGATCCCGGCCCCGTCGCCCCCTTCCCCGGCTTTACCTTGCTCTCCTCCTCCTCGTCCTCCTCGTCCTCGTCCTCCTCCTCCTCTTGCTCTTCTTCTACGGCCACCGGAGCAACAGCGACCGCAGCCGCAGCCTGACTGGGGATCGTCTCCTCCTGAGGGTGACTCTGCCGTTCCTGTTGTGCAGTCCTCTTGGCAGCCTCCTCCTCCTCCTGCTGCTGCTGCTGCCTGCGCCCCTTCTCCTGGCACTGCTCTGCCTTGTCTCCCTCGGCTCCTTTCTTCTTCTCCGCAGCCCCAGTCTCTTCCCCGGGGACACACCTCACCTCTGCCCTGGCCTCCTCCGGCTCCGGCCCCGGCCCGTCTTTCGGGAGCCCCGCTCCGCCGTCACCATCCCGGGTTTGCTCTCCTGCGCCCGCCGCAGCGCTCACCTCGTCCTCTTTGCCGCGCGGCTCCCCCGCTCCCCCGGCGCTCGCCGCTGCCTCCGCAGCTTTGTCCCCTTCCGAGGAGGCTCTCAGCTTCACAAAGACCGAGGCGAGAATAATGGCCAGGACCGTGAAGAGCAGCGGGACTGCGACATACAGGTCCACCCCTACATCCATCCCTCCTCAGGCAGCTCCGCCGCAGCTCTAACCAGGAGGAGGCTCAAGACGGCTGACAAGGAGGCGGCGGCGGATAATTCCGGATTGTTGCCCTCTCCTCTCCTCTCCTCTCCTCCTCCTTCCCCCTTCCCCGCTGCCGTGCCACTGACCGGCTCCGGCGAATTTCAGCGGTGTGCGGGCACGCACAACGGCCTGAAGCAGCGGCAGCCGATGAAATCCCTTCGCTTCTGAAGCTGGATAGGGTTTCACAACACGCGCGTCATCTCCCTGGGCCCTGCCCACAGCTGCGACTCCTACCTCCGGAGCCGCAAAAGTTCCGGGGGCTCTCCGGTCCGGCGCTGCTTTTCTCCCCCGCCTGTCATTTTTTTACGGCTGTAACCAGAGGCAGCCTCCGCGGCTCGGACTCCAGACGCCCGCCTCTTCCTTAATGCACATCTCACCTGATTAAACATGCATAGCACTGCGCCCTTAAACAGGGCAGGGGGAGGGAGCCCGACAGCTGCTTGGGCTTTTTCTCTTAGGCATGCATAGGAATTGCACCCTAAGCGGTCTGAGGGAGTCAAAAGCTTGCACACTAGTTTGCAGGCTTCGAGGTGATCTGATAGAAGGCAATTCCCTAACATGGGATCTATCGAAATGATGTGATCACTCTCATCTTTCTCCAGAACAGCTTCCAGGCAGTTTGCACCATCTACACACCTACCATCGCAATGTATATCACATAGCAAGAATGTACCACATCTCTAGCACGCCCATTTTACTTTTCACGATACTCAATTACGATCAATCCCAAAGTTTATAAGACTGATTGGTGCCAAGAACAACACCCCCCCCTTCCCCCCAGCCCCTACAAGGCTAAGCGCTTCTCAAAGTGCCCCACGGCCTGTGCTGTGCGCAGCCCTAAGCAGGAAAGGGAAATTAAAGCCTGCATTCCAAGCGCTGAACCTGGGACTGGAGTTTTCTCCCGCAAACATGAGTTCTTAGACCTGCAGCTCCCCGTTCTGCTTCAGCCGAGAGAGAGGAGAGACGAGATAGGGGACGAAAAAGGAGTGCACCGCAGACTTGCAATCAGCGCAGACACAATTTGCACAAATGCTCACTGGGCTGCTAAGGCTGATGGATGCACAAGCACTGTTTGAGTAACCTTGGGAGAGAGAGATGGAGCAAGGTGTACTGCTTTGCTGTTACTTGTAAAGCTCTGGAAGGAAGAGCATAGCCAACTTGCCATCTTACTCTCCCTCATTCCTAGTGTTGAAAATCATACATGAAGATAGCGTATCCTGGATGCTTTGGCCCAACAGAAGATTTTGAATGTGTGTGGGGAATTGCCTTTGACTGACAAGTAGTGATTTCTAAGGCTGGTTTGGATTCTAGTGTGATCCCCAGTTTTGGTGGCACAGAACTCTTGGCCAACCAAAGCATGATTATTACAACCTGCAGCAGAGGGGCTGAGGAACTTGGGCTTTCATCCACAAACCCTCTTTATTTTTTGAAAAAGTACCTAAATGTTTTAAATAGGTATGTATAAAAAGCAATTTTTAAAAATCCTTACAGATAGCAACCCCTGTTTTATGTTACCAGCTTTATTTGGGGGTATCCTACACAGGGCAATCTATACCATTTTACTTCAAAAGAAGCACCATTGCACTCAGCAGGGCTCGAACCTGTCCTGCGTAGGCTTGCAGTCTTGGTTACTATTTTCTATCTGAAGCAGTCCACGAAATGCTTTGTGCTGAAGCTAAAGATACACACAGCCTCTGCGGCTTAATGACTGAATCACTAAAGATCTAACTAATCACCTCCCAGGGCAGCTTGGCCTATGAGCTTCCAGGGAATTACATGGTGGGCTACAGGGCTAGAAGACTTTTCTCAGGACAGCCTGTGGCTCATCATGGCTTAAGCCGATGAGCCACAGGGCCTGTAGGTACCATCCTAAATAGTCAACCCCAGACTGCGTGCGCGCGCATGTGTGTGTGTTGGGAATATACTGAAAACAGGCCATGAGTTAGGAAAGGGTAGATTAAGCCTTGCATAAGCTTTACTGGTTCGGGCTTCAATATTCAGGATGGTGCCTTCAAATGTCATGGCTTGCTATATATTAAGGAAGCCACAATGTGCTTGGTCAAGTCCTGCAGACCCAGTCAGTGTGTGGTGCTGCTTGAAGCCACCTAATATACACCCTTTGCAATTTATGCTGCTTTCTTGCAGGCAGAAAGAAGAGGGACCCTCCTCAGTATTAAGGGATGGTTAATACATAGGGCTATGCCAATTTCCTACAAGAAGGTAGCCACTGACGTTTCCGACTATTTCATTTTATTAAGCTTTAAGACAAAAGACACAACCTAGCCAGATTCCCTTTTCTTTTTTAGCCTTTTGTTTTCCTTTATAGCAGAAGGAATTGTTCTCAAAACCACAGTACCTATGTTGAAGACAGTTTTTCAAGAGTTACGTTTTCAAGTAAATACTCCGACACACACCAAACCTCTGGCTTTAGGGACTGAGTTCATTTTCCATCTTGAGGGAAAGTCAAATCACTTTGACTTAGCTTGTTCACGTCTTACTGAAATCAGTCGAGTCAGCATGTATCTTGACTGGACTGTAGTCTTTATAAACCCATTTTTCACTCATTTCTTGGGACAGGGGGACCAAGTAAATCTCCTTTAGATACAAGTGAACTGGACAAGGCAACAGCCACAGCTTTGTAGCTGTGACTTTCTTGGTAATCCTATCAAGGTAGTGATCATTAGCATGTGGATAACTGTATTCTTAGTAACAAACAGCTATGACCCCTAATCTTCTACTCCCTGCAGCTTTGTATTTCACAGGGGCAGATAAAACAGAGCTAGACTCTTAACACAGTCCAAAGTGGGAGTGATTTACCAGCAGTATTGTTAGCTGATAGCTATTTCTTTCCTCCTTCCCTCAATACTTACCAGACACCACCCTTGCAGTTTGATAGCTCAGGACATTACATAGATACAGCAGAATATGTAAAACAAAGCAAAGAGATCTATGTTTTCTGCACCCATGGAGGCTTTACCTTCTAATATTTGAATCCCCCTACCTATTCTCTACTTGACTCCAACCACTAACCTCCCAGTTCCATTTCTGCATTTTTTTTCAAGGAGAGAAAACAGTTATCAGATTTTCCAGGTGGCCAGATAATGCAACTATTTGACTTCTGTGTTTCAGCTGACGCTAAGGGAACAGAAGGTGTCACATTAAAAAACAGCCAAGACAATTTTCAGTAAGAGAAGTTCATGGTTTTCCACATTATAGAAGGAAGGCTATAATCCTTGCCAAAAGATAAGCCCTACTGAATGCAATTATATTTACTTTGGAACAGACTTAGCTGTAAATGCCTAATTGCTCAGATGATTCACTGACCAACTTTTCAAGTGGACATTTCTGACTTTTGGGTATTCAGATGAACACCTGAAAGTTATTTATTTGAAAAGAATATATTCTCCCCTTTACATTATCAGGTTTAAAGCAGTTACTACAGGCACCTAATGTTGTTCTCCTCAAACCACACAATTCTCAGACATGATGAATCCTTACACTTAACCAAATGTGCCTTGTTTTCTGCAGCCCTCCTTGGCTTAATGATTTAAGCAGCGTACTGCCCTCTGCTGGAAAATGATAATCCTAGAATAAATCTCAAACTGCAGCTGCACCTGCAGTATTCCTGGTGTTGCTGCAGAATAAAGTGTCCTAGGACAGAATGGATCTTGTTAAAAAGAACAAAGACAGGTGCGGGACAGCTCAACACCAACACTCTTTGAATAAAGTCAGGTGTAACAAGCTCACTTGCCCACAGCACAGGATTATGACAGTCAATGCTCAACCATTGCACAGTCTGGTACAAATTGTACAGCCAATGTGTCCCTAGATCCCCAAGTGTATAGCATCATGTTCTCAGAGGATAGTGAGACTCTTTTCTTTCACTGGTGTATAGATACTTCAGTGATGAACATGAAACTGAAAATAAGGGGTTATTCTGGTTCAGGACACTAAAGCTTGCACCACAAAATAATACAAGTAGAATTTGCAGTATCTTGAGGACGCCTACACATGATGAATGAAAGAGTGACTTGTCGTGGTTGTCTAGCCTCAGGGATACAGCTGAATAATATTCTTAAGTTGCAAATCAGTTTAACTAGCAGCCATCTTTCTTTCCTTAAGTTGCAAATCAGTTTAACTAGCAGCAATCTTTCTTTCCTAGTTGGCCAGGACCCTGTTCATTCCTGAAAAAGAATGGAAGTTGATTTGTTTGGGAAGCCTATCTGGAAACCAGTTGAAAAACAAGTTACAGTAGGGCAGTACACTGCAAAGCTTATTGCTTAGACAGGAACGCATGAGGAGTATCCCTCAGAAGAAAATAAAATTCCAGAGCATTAGTCCTTCAGCCTGCACTGAACACACTGGTCTCAGAATCACGTATTTGTAATACTAAAAAGGGAGAAGCTGGCATTAACACATAGTGTTAGCTGTAAAGGTACTGTGTTGACAGTTGGTTCTTTAAAAATGTAAACCTACCATGAAAAAAGGGTGCCAAAATGCAGGTAAAAGACTACATGCCCATCCCATGGCCTTTACTCCTTTACTCCCATGCTATCATTTCAGCTTAGTTTACAACATACTGGATTCTTTTGTGACTCTTTTATTGTTGGTATGGCTCTCTGCTCAATTCTGGTACCCTTCCAGTTTTCATCTTCTTTAACTGAAGGTGAAAAATACTGGAAAATTAATTCTTGCTATCAAGTATATAATAACTTAGTACATTCCTTTTTCTCAGAGAATCTCACAGAAATAATAAAATACATTTATTTTAAATGTCAAAAACCCAATTCTATATTTCCTTGCAAGTAAGCCCTACAAAAAGCCCTACTGGGATTTACTCCCAAGCAAGCATGTACAGGATATTAACCGATGACATTTTTCTTATTCTTTTTAGATTGCTGCAAGCCATTATTATTCTCATGGCAAAATGTATGTACTGCATTTCCAACCCAGCCACTTAAAACGTTTTAGCACTGGAGTGAGAAGCACACTATCTAACATGCATACTAGGTGAGGTCGGGACTCACAGCTTGGTTTTTTCCCAATCTGTTGGATGTTTCTGGTTAAGCAAAGGACTATTCTGCACCTCCTAGTTCGCTCATGGGAGCAGAGTTGAAGGCCATCTGCTCTAATGTTACTCTCATGAGTTCAGTAACTTTATACCTTACACAACCTCCTTATCCAGACTATATTAAATGAACAAAGGTACAATCCTATTTATACCCTGGAGAGTGGCTGTCCTTTTCTCTGTCTACATGTACAAAAGGTTGCATTTTAAAGGCCAATTCAGATGTTATTTCAAAATGCAAAGACTGCAGAAGCACAGATCACTTGAGTTTCTAATCTCCTAAAGTTAAAAATATGAACATGTGCATTCATTTTATTATACCAAGTTATTCCTCAGAAAATGCAAGGCAATAAATAGCATACAAGTCAGTGAAGCAGCTGAACATGGAACCAGTAAACGGAGGACTCTGCACAGCATCTTTTCCAGACTCCTATAAACTATAAGAAAGCACACAGGAAAGCTGCAGCCCATATGGTGAAAGACAAGAGTATTTCAGAGTTCGGATGAAAACAAAGCACGAGTGAAGTAATGGAAAATAAGATTTTATTTTAAATTAAAAAAGAACACAATCATCTTCCAATGAGAACAATTCAGAGCATCTTGACTTCACTATATGGATGGACTGAACTGGAGAAACAGTTAATGGAGCTGGCATTTTAAATATTGCCACAAGAATCTACAGAGATTTTGCTCCTTACAAAAGGGAAGAATCAAGCTTCAAGAACCTGACAGAGAAAAGGTTGCCTCAACATAATGAAATTGGCATTAAGAATTTCAGTAAGAAACGGTGTTAGCACATTTCCCCAAGTAAGTGGAGAGCACTGTTTAAGGCCAACAAAAATAAAGTTCATCAAATTTGACTGAAATCTGCAAAGAGAATTAAGAAAACTAGGACTTTCTGATGTAGCAGGACTTTTAATTAGCAGAAATCCTGCAGAACATGCATCTTCTTCCACAAATTGGGTCAATTAATAAAAACTACTTTTTGGTAGATTGCAGTTGTCTCCAGATTAGCCTTTAAACTGAACACCTACATCTTAGGTAGGGGTATCTTAACCAAAATAATCCATGTATTTGGAAGACGATTCATTGCCAATACTGAATGAAACTGAGTCTTAAGCTAACCTTTATCTCAAAATATAGGTTCCTATCTCTCATGGTTATAGAAAATGCTAATTAATAGCCACCAAGTGTTTAGGCAACAGCTGACATAGCTCAGATCTAGACCCACTACTGACACAATAGAAACATTATGCATTGGATTTGCAAAGATGCACATAAATAAAAACAATTTGTGAAAAGCAGAATATTATCTTTAAAATGACCAGTCATTCTTTGCTCAAAAGCACTGAATTATATACTTTTGGTTGCAGGACAGAGAGAGCCCATGAGTCTGATTCTCAGCTCACATCTACCTGAAGTGTAGAGCAAATTGCTTTGATCTTCAAAGCCATTTAGTACAGGCAGCCATCTATTTTACCATCTTTATTTTCAGACAGCTGTAAGCAGGGAAAGCTGAGTCCTTTCCTCAGCACAACTGCTGCTTGGCTTCAACTCAATCAGAGAGGTATATACTTGGCATCTAGGAGGCCAATCAAAGAGGTCTGAAAGAGCACAGGTGAAAGAGCTGGCCATGGTTTAGAGCCCTCCTTTTTTGAGAGGAGTCAAGATAGGACACAGGTTTTGACAGCAAGGATGTACAGTTTTGTAAATAAAATCTACAACCTTTTTTAAAGGATGAAAACCCAAGTTTAATATTTGTTTTTAATAAATGTGAGAATCTGCCATATAAAATATTCCCTATTACAATAACAGAGACAACTACCTTCTTTCATGAACAAATCTGATCAATATTGTGGAAGATAGACATTTAAAAAGACAAGATAACTATGTTTGCAGCTGAACATTGCCACTTCAGCTGTGTGCGGTTACTACTACTAAAAAGGAAGCCATTAACTGGTTTCACCCTGAAACATCACAATTCAGGTAGGGATTGCATTGTTTTAAATGCAAATTGGGCAAAAAAGCCATTTTGTTCAAAAGTCCGATTTGAAATATGGAGGAAAGCTAGTGCACCTTACTCAATGAGGAGTCTTCAGATTCAGTCCAAACAAGGAAGCTTAGTCCCTAGCTCTTCCAAATTAATTTACTGATGCATGTTTAGACAGAAGTCCTGTAACTTCCAGTATTTTCCAGCCAGTGTGCATAAGACTGCACCCTATGCCATTTAAATAAATGCACATAACTGAATTAACTTATCTGAATCCCAGTATTACAAATATATCCACTTGATTCCAAGAAAAAATGATAATCCCTGCATCCCTGGTCTATAGAGGCCCTGCAGAATGCATAATATGGCATTTAATATATTACCTTGGAATCAAGCCTTTGTTTAAATATAAACACGAAAAACACCAACCTAAAGTTTCTAAGCCTCATGGTTGCAAAAAACATTTTAATAGCAAATGAGCAGTTTTTGCTGAATGTTTAGCAACTACAAGGCTACATTGAAAGAGCTTCCAAATGCTGGGGAGAGGCCAATGTTCAGAGGTGGAGCAAATGTTTGGCATGCAAAAGGTTCCAGGCTCAGTCCACAGAATGGTTCCCTTCCTGTGTTTCCCTCTTGCTATTCATCCACTTCCATAGGTTTGAATACTCAGTACCTGGTAACAAAATTGAAAGATGACAAGTTCTACATGAGGGGTACAAATGGGTATTTTCCAGTGTGTTGGACTACAGATCCCATAATCCCTGGCTATGCTGGCTGAGGCTGATGGGAGTTATATCCCAAAACATCTGGAAGCACAAGGCTCCTGATCCCTATCCTGTATAATGTATTTCCAGACAAGTTGTGCAATCCAAGGCTATGCAAGGGGAAATGATCTGATTTGCAAAGGTTGTTCTATTTCACAGAAGTTGTTTGGGAACAACAATGTGGAAAGGTAAGAAATCATTTGGGGATACAATCTATCCGTATTTACCAAAAAATAACTGTTTCTTACATGCATGGAGTTAAGGCTGGCAAGTGATATTTAGATCCCTGCATCAGTGATATGGTAGTATTTTGGCACACACTGGAACCATGGAAACTTATGTGATATCAGTGATTTCCTAGCTATGTTCCTTACAGGGCTAGAAAATCAGTAGCTGGCCCCAGACTGTCTGACTTCACACCGCACCAGCCAGCACATTTGGACTATCCCTAGTTTTCTCATGATGAAGTACGAGCACACACAAAAAACAAAAACAGAAAAGCACAGTCTCCATGTCCTAACTCAAAATGCAGTCAGGCCCAGATAATCACTCAGCTCCTTGGTTAAGTGATCACAGTACAGACCTTTTCACTATGCTGTTGACTTTCAGGGTTTGGACAGCGTTCCAGTTGCATTAACAGATGCAAGATCCACCTTACAACGTAATACCAATCTCCATTAACAACAAACAATGCCCTTGCAGCAGCAGCAGATTCCAAAAGAATTCAGCTGCCTGGGATACACACAGCAACATCTTATTTCAAGGCATCCACACACATCTCAAATACCTGCCACGCAACAACAGCAGATAAGAGCGGGACGTTCCTGGGCTCCAAAGAAGCAGCTCTTCATAAAATGGGATTCGTATTGTATTTCTTCAGACCCCACCCACTCCTCATAAAAAAGCATTCTACCTTCATAGGACATTTCCAGAAACTCCCACAGGGAGAGGTAAATGAAGCAGCTTCAGCTTCTCCCATACCACTTCTTTCTAGAGCTAGCTCCTAAACTGGCTACAACACAGCAGCAGTTTTTCATTAAAATAGAAAGCGCATGGAATCATGCTGAACTGCTCAGACACTGAGCAGACACTATGTTCAGACACTACATTTTCCATAAGTCCCATTTGCCCATGGTTGGGGTTTGGTGTTACCCACAAACTGAGAACTACGAAAAGGTGCTTCTTACAGGTGATCATTTACACAGTAGAAGAGTCACCTTAGGTGAATATAACCAGGTTAGTCTCTTGTCCTCTAGTAAAGATTTTGCCAGCCAATTACATAAACTGGGGGTTGCAGTTCTGACCTCCAGTTGTAGTGCATGAGAATTCAAATTGTAAACATATGACAATGTTGGAGTAGGACACAGGGTTTCAGGATATACCTGTGTATAGTTAAGACAGTTGAGAGAAATCCTCAATTTCCTGTTCTGACTGGACATAGTTGAGAGCCACAGCAAAGCGTTACAGAGGTCTTCTGATGTTCAGCAGACTTGTTTGATGGAGTGCAGAAAGAGAGGTTTGAGCACACAGAAATCTCTAGTTTCTCCTTTAGTTAGCAAGGATTCAGACTGCAGGTCATGGCAAGTAGAAATTCAATTTTAAAAAGAATGAAAAAGGAGTGGTGAAGACTTGAGAAAGTTCTAAGCATACAGCTGATGGAAAAACAGAAAACAGCTGGCTGGTTGTGACTGCCTTTAGATGAGTCTCGATATCTTTCACGGATGAGCACGGCTTCCACAAGATTCCCTAATCCTGTCAAAAATACAAAGCACAAACAAAAAAACCTAACTGCTTGTCCAGGCCGGTTTTTTACAACATATGCAATATAACATTACTGAACTTTTCCTAGTGACACAGATATGCCCCAAAACTTTGGAAGCTCCATGGCCAGCATTTGAATTGGTAGGGCTGCTTCTTATACTATAGCAAGACAGCAGTCAGAAGCAGCTAGCTGAAGAGTCATTTGAGGAAGGTACTCGGATACCTAGCTGGGAGAGAGCCTTTGACTGTCCAACAAACTCCCCATCCTACTGAGCTTTAGACCACACAAACAAATGGGACACAGTGCCATCTTAAAACACTTACTCCTTACTCTGAGAGAACAGGACAAAGGTTTTTCAGAGAGTCATTTTTTGTCTTAAGCAGTGACTCCTAAACTTGACTGGATCCACCAACAGAACTTGCTAGTTAGTATCCATTTCTTGTTTCCAGAGAGAGAGAATTGTTACCCCTCTTTCTACACCAGCTCAGCTACTAGAATACAAGATTCAAGCACAGGCCATTTCCTTTGATGAGAGGTCACTAGACTGGAAGTACTCGGTCATTACTCAAAATGACATTACAAAAAAACAGAAAACTTAAGGCAAAGATCTTCCATCATGAATACTTATGCAAGTCGTAATTCTCCATTGCCAATTTTAGCATTGTTAAGTCCTCTGCAAGCAAGAAATCTGATCCTCTCATAGAAGCAGCACATCAGCTGCAATTTTCAATTTAAAGCATTCTACCTACATTAAGGAGAAAAGCTGGACAAAACCTTCAAAATTAATTATTTTTTCACTTATTAAAGTGAAGAAATACTTCCTTGAAAGTTCTGATAAATAGAAAGAAGTTTTAATTTAGAGCATTAGAACTGGATAAGAAGTCTTACATGGGGAAGTATGGTTACATGAGCTGGGACTAACTACCCTTTTTATGACTATCTTCCCAGTTCTCCCCGCTCCTTAGTCCAAGATATCTGGCTAATTTCCACCATTTGTCTGATAAAAGTGGTCATCTTAATCTAATCACCTGGAGGAGCTGCGCTCTTTGCTCACACAGTCATCATGAGAGGTTGTATCACCATTTCCCATCATGCTACATGTCCTTCGCTTTTTCCTCCGATGCATCATTCCTTCCGTCTCTGAACTGGAATCACACTAAATACACAAGAAGTGACAGTAATAAAACTTTACCATCAAAATAGCAACTCATTATTGGTCAGTAGTAAGGGGTAAACCATTTGAGGAAGAGTATCTTTTTAGTGACAGCTCTACAATAAATGAGTTATTACAACATGAATATAAGCTTGCTTTTTTCTCTTCTATACTTTGGATTTGTTGGTAATCTACTAAGAAATGCTGCTAGACATTTTATAAATGCAGTTCATATCCAATTCAGTCAGAATTACAAATAGCTGTTGAGCCTGACATCAGTTTTAGGTACCTAACATGCCCACAGAAGTTTAGCTTACTGTTGCTTCTATTTCATCCCTGTTTATCCTGGCTAATGAAATCTTGCTAAAAGATACTAATTTGTTTGCTTACAAAGGTATCTGGTAATTTATTTTATTCCCATTTATAACGACTTAACTTGAAGGGTTATATTGCACACTATACTGCAATATTTTACTGCTGGTCTCAAATAACAGTGCTGTTTGGCTTCTGGACCACCAGCGTGAATTGAGTAATTTAGATAACATTTCCAGAAGAGGACCAGTGCATGCTACTTATGGCTGATTATGTATGCTAGAGTATGTATTTGTTAAATCCCTATCAAGACAGTACTATTGGATTTTTATTATGCAGTATGGCCCTTGACTTCAGTGGGAGACAACACAGCCCACTCTGGAACAGTCAGGATGTTCATGTCCTAGTGCTCTGCCAAGTACCAATGGCTTACAGCAATAGTAATCTATTTGGAGAGGAGTATCTGCTGTACTTCTTGGAGAGAAATATCTGCTGTACCAGAGTCCTTACCTCTGAATCAGAATCAGAAGAACTGGAGCTGGAAGAGCTTGATGAATCACTGGAACTATCAGAAGCAATCCCTGTTGATTCCTGTAAGTCAACAGCATCTGCTAGTGCAGCCAGTTCTGGATGTTCTTGTTTTAGGACTCTTGAGGGAAAAGAAGGCACTGTTAACACTAAAGAAGCTAATGGAGATAGACACAGATGACAAAAGCATTGTGTGCTCTGAAGAGACAGAATAGAAGGCAGAAACTGTATACCGGAAAGCAAAAATACACGTTAAATGCTAGCATAAACCACCTAAAAAACAGCAATCTAAAAGATATGAAAACAGCCACAATGAAGGTTTGGCATACAACTAGCATTTTCTCCTATTCTGCCCATTCACTAAAGCATAAGGCCCCTGGCATGAGACGCCATGTCTCATATTGATGTATCACATCTAATGTCATTCTTATAATTTAGTATTGTAACTAATTTTATCACATGGGATGGCAAACAAACTGGCAACTGAAAATAGGCCAATTGTATAGACAAGCATAAAAATGCTGAGAAGGGGCAGTTTTTAAGAAACCTGCACCCTTAATGGGGTGAGACAACCTGTTCCCAGAATAATATTCATTGCTGTCACAAGTACCACATTCACTATGTTAAAGAACTTTAAACCACTGACCTACTGCCTTATTTAGTAAGTCATTTTATGGTTTAAGAATGAAATGCCCACATACATGCTCAGATTCAAACCATGCTTTTCAAATGCATACAGTCGAATCACCTTAATATATGTTGCAATCCAGAAGCCTAATCCTCCTTCTGGGCTCCATGTACTAATGCAAGATTTTTCTATTACAAGACAGACAGTCCAGAAGAAGTCTTCCCAAAACGCACAAACTTCATCATTTCCATGTAATATATTCTGTCACGTGTCAGTCCAGGTGTACTTCTTGATCTAGGAAGCAATCTGCTTGTGTTCCTAGCATCTGGAAAATCACTGAAGTAATGACTGCATCTCTTACCTGTACCATTTTCTTGATAATTTTGGCCTTCCTCTCACCGTCTTGTGCCACACCACAGGGAAGTTAGTGCAACTGGCAAAGTTCTGAGTGACAGCAATGGTTGTGTCAAGATTGAGAACTACATGCCACCAGCCGCCTACAAATGCAACACCACACAGGAAGATTATAAACCATGAATAAAAGTGCAACAAACATTTATGTAAATATAGGTTTGCCTGTTTGGAAACAGTCTTGTGTGAGGATAAAACAAAACTCTTGTTTCTTGTTCCATGCACATTCTTATCATGTTGTAAGGATTAAATCATGAAATTTTGGTTACCAACAGCTAAGTGCCACTGTAGCGGGTGCACAGCACACACATTCTGTTCCCTGAGTTCTACAACATTGTGGAGGCTTAGAGACGAGGAATGGCAAAAAAAAAAAAAAAAAAACTTTTGCAAAAGCAGTAACAGCTTATGCTATTTCTGCAAAAGTCCAGTGCAATGACCATCACCTAGGTCTTCTTCCATGCAGAAGGGACTTTTCTGCTATTTCATGCCAGGTTTCTGTAGAAAACAAAAAAAGCTGAGGCTCTCACTGCTTTTGTAGAGAACTCCAGCTCCTCTAACCTGTGGGTTAATATACCTAAACAGTAGAAATACTTTCTTATAAATTAGAGTTGTTGAAATCATGTAATTGAAATTTCGACTTTTAACATTTCAGTAACAAATGGCAGTGATGGAAATGTTTCCTATTGATTACATTTGTATGCCACCCCATTGTGTTAGTGATCTTTTCTATTTGGAAGCTTTTCTAGCATGTCCTGAGGCGTTACAGTCAAGGCAAGCAATTAACAAGAAGGAAATGGATCTGAAATTCCTTATTTCCCAAGAACTGAAAGAATTATGTGCTTGGGTAGGCAGTATCAAGGAGCAACAAAAGTTTGAAAAAATTTAAGCACCAGGTCAGTAAGTGTAACCTAAGAATATGTTTTCATATTACCCTCCAAATGGCTCTAATATGATGGAGGCAACAGAATATCCAATCTTGAGAAAGAAAAGGTAGTGGCAAAAACAACTTAGTTGGTGTTACGGCAGCTGGCCTTACATGCCTCCTTTATCCCATACGAGAAACAAAACACAAGGTGAACTTTTGTTATTAGCTTTGTCCAACCTGCTGATGGCCCAAGCAGTCGTGTATTAAGAGTAGCCTTGGATTTCAATTGCATCTGCCCCAGCCAGCACAGCCAATGGTCAGGAATTCTGGCAGGTACCTGACCAGATAAGACTGTACTAAAAATTTTGAAATCAGAAATAGGCAGCAAAAGTTATTTCCATTTCACAGGTACACCGGAATCACACACAAAAAATTCCCTAATACTAAGGCAGGAACAAATGGAAATGAGGATATGGATGCTAAATACACTTGCCAAAGAGACGTATAGAAACAGAGCGAGTCAGAAGGAGCCTCCTGGCCCATCTAGTCTGACCCCCTGGCTCCAGCCAGCTCCGCTCACGACATGCCCACCATGTGCATGTCCAGCCTATCCTTGAACATCCTCACCGATGGGCCTTCAACATCTCCCATGGAAGCGCATTCCAAACCCTTGGGTCCTAACGGTCAGGAAGTACTTCCTGGCACCCAAATCCAAATTTGCACAGATGCCATTAGATATTGAGCCTCTTTATCAGGGGAACAAAAAACTGATTTTAAGAAACAGGATCAAGCAGAGCTAGCTTGTCCTGTTTCATTTTCTGCTTACACTTTGGTGAAAGTCTCAAAGGTGACAAAGCCTTTACTCTACAGTGCTGGTTAAAATGCCTGTCATGGCGAAGATATTAGTCATAGACCTTCCCTCTTATTCCCCGAATGTTCAATTCATCTCCATTTTAGTTTCCTTCCTAAATGTATAATGCATTTCAGGACTAGTCCTCTACACACGTACTTTGCATCCATCTCATTTAACATTCACAATAGGGTACTCTTGGATATCACTTTGTTCAGAAGAGTGGCAACTGTTGTTACAGGCTTGGAGTCTCTCAAAAAATTGAAATATATTCTATTACAAGATCAGGTCACCCTTCAGCACAGAACAAGCACACATACCTGGTACAAAGACAGTCTCTCCTGGTTTTTGCACTACTTCCAGGGGTTTGAACTCAGAAGGCCAAGTAGAAAGCTGAGTTCTGGGATATATCACTCTGAACCAAGTGATGGCTTCATCTTGCTGGTTCCCCCCTTCTTCACGAGTCACTTTGATCAACTCTCTGGGAGTGCTGGTAGGGAAAAGGCACCAGCGCTTGTGTCCTTGGACCAAAGCATTCCAGGCACTGGTTCCCAGAGGGTCAATGTGAATACCTGTTCCAGATCGAGGAGGGCCCATCACAAACCATCTGCACAAGAGAAACAAGGAGTGTTAGGAAAGAATTATTGTCCTTACCAGATTTCCCAAAAGCAAGGGGTTATTTTCTGCTTCTAAAGCAGGCTGAAATATTTTTAGTTTCACAGATGTAACAAAAGAACAAAGAGAAAAACACATGGAACTGTTCTATACAAACTAAAGCATTTTTCTCATACCGCTTACACTGAGAGCAGAACTGGAAAAGCTCTCCAATGCCTTGGGATGTCAAATATTTTTCTAGAATGGGAAAAGCACTTTGCATTTGGGGGCCAAACTGGCCATAAGCCTGGCAGGAAAAGTGGATGGGGTGACACTTCCTGGCTGGCATGTGATGCAGTCAGCTCTTGGAGGAGAAGCTACTCAAGCTACTGCTTCAGTATTAACTGGCTATCATGTCCTTGCTGCAGGAATCCTCCTGTCAGGAAGAGCTAGAAATATATAACGCCAAGAAGTCACGCACACCAGGAGACCTCAGAGCAGTGTTGCTTCAGGAGGCAAATCAGCAGGGCAATTTGGAGAATTACAAAGGAGGAGCCCTCAAGATGAAGGAATTCTTGGGACGCAATGGCCTCCTCCTCCTCAGTAGGACTTTGCCAGAAGGCCTATAATGTGCTGCAGCCAAACCCTGGGTTGGACTCGGGAACTCTGGTCATGCAAGCCTTCAGAGTTAGCTTAGCCTTTAAGGGAACAATCACCAGCTCATTCCACCAGCTCTGCCAGCCAGTTTCTCTGACTTCAGTTTGTGATCTGCATGATTGCCCTCTGAGCTTCTGCTGCTTGCACTGCATATGGTATCTGTCGGCTTATCTGCGTTTTGACCTTGGCTGTACCTCAGAACTCCCTTCACACCTGCTTGTGAGGTAATACTGTGCTTGGCTATTTACCTATTTTTTTGACTTGCCGTTTGGATTTCCTTGTATTCTACCTTAACACGGAACCTGATTCAGACATTCTATGACACTAGCATTGCTTGTCCTGCATCTTACCTGATAATGAAGGACAAAGCTCTTGAGTCAGCACTTTGAAAAATTATTAAAACCTATTTTGACACTGAAATAATGTTTTGATGTGGCAGATGTGTGCAATTATGCCTTTTCCCCAGTGATGAGGGCACCTAATTAGCCTGAGGCACAACTAGAAAAAGTGTCATTACTCGTAACCATCCACAGCAAACAATATAAACCAGACCTGCATGAAAGGCGCACCAAAAGAGTGACATAAGGGTAAGGAAAACAGTTCACATTGTCATGGACCACACCAGACCATTTTTCCCTGTGTCTTAATCTGAAGAACGGAGATATGGACTCTGGGTAAATCTTTCTAAAAGTGCCCTATTTCACATTAGCTCTTCCCTATTAGGATGATTAGTCAAGAGGAGCTGATATTTACAGTGAACCTTATTCAGGTTTGAAGTGGACAACTTCTAGCCCTCCAGACAGAAGATAGAACTTCTGGCCTGCAATTCCCATCACCTCAGCCAGCACAGCCAATTCCCATCACCTCAGCCAGCACAGCCATAGGTTAAATCATCTGAAATGACACAAGTTGTCCACCCGAGTTAAATTAGCACTTACAGGTATCAGTGAAAGCCATGGCTTTATTAATACTGTACAGATTCACCAGCAGTTGCTGTTTCATAGTTAGTAACTAAAGACACTCTTATATATACACTGTACAATTTCCATACTGTAGAAAAATATTCTTTCTAGGTAGTTGACTAGCTGAGAGACTTTATGGCACCTATCTTTGATTTTTATTGCACTGCAGACAATTATTCTGAATTGCTTGTTCTTTTCACCCCCCCTCTGCTTTTGGCATAATTGACATTTGGGAAGTTTTCTTGGCAGTTCTAAAGTTCAGTTCTGATGCAGTTGGGCACTGAATGTGTAGGAAGAAATGGGGAGCCTGTTTAAACCTCAGTGCCAAATTCAATTTTGGATAGGCTCTCAGGGGTTGTATTTTAGAAGTAGCAAAAAGTGGGCGGGAGGTGGAAGAACACTGAAGTCTGCAACATATTGTAGATTAAAGCACTCTCTTCTTTATCTAAGCCTTTAGAAGAGATATGTCAACATTTCAACAGGGAAGGAAAAACTGCAAAAAGCCAGGAAGCCACCTGATGGTTGGGGGTAAGGTGATGGGGCAAAGGTAAGCAACATGGCCACCAGGGTAACTACAAAGGGCCAGAGTTGATTCCCTGCAAAGCAATGAGGAGGCATTAGACTCTCATGATCAGCATGCTGATTTTAACATTACTGTGTTTTGCTGTGTCTATTCCGAGGCAGAAATTGCTGTTTCTACCTGTAAGGTGGCCTTCTCTTCTCTCCTGCATACTTAAACAAGTCATCTGTGAAGAACTTGGGCACCCTGTAGTCTTCCAGAAGCTTCCTGCGCTTAGGATGTTCCCCATAGCTGCTGTCGAATATATAGAGGGGGCTGTCATCCCGTGTGGTCTCCATGTATTCTATGTAATATTTCATTTTCATCTTCACAGAGTAACCATCATTGTCCTCTCCACATTTGAATTTTTGATTCCTATACTTGCGCTTTAAGCGCTCCAGAGTCCATTTCTCCTGGGCTGGCCACCCAACTTGAGCATTTAGTAGGACAACAGGCTTGTAAGGCTTCTCGTAACGTTCAATGAATTCTTCCACGGACAAATGGAGTGCATCTGCTCTTTCCACGTTGTCCTGCAGGATGAATGAAGAATTTCTTGTAAGGCAAAGTCATGCACGATATAACACAGCAGAATATTAGTGCTACTGTTAGTCCAACAGGAGGAGAAGCACAGAGCACACGAGATGCCTTTCACCATCTCATTAAAAATGCTAACTTTTAAACTCCCATGTATGTTAGTTCTTCAGGGAGAGAGACTCATCCCCACAAACAATAGGCAGTGGATTCCACATATGTGTTGTGCCTGAGTAACAACACTCTGTTCTATGTTCTGAAGAGCCAGATAGTTTTATAAAAGACAACCAAGTGTCCTTAATGTAATATGAGACAATAATTATTGCAGTACTAGTATTCAGATGACATCATGTGGTCGTATGACAAGTATCTTCAATGATTTTTTTTTTCTGGTGTAGAATAACTTACTGGCACTCTGAAATATTATCTAATGATGCAATCCTATATAGCAATAAGTCCAAATGAGCAGGGCTGTTGAGCTGGTACATAAAACCTTTGACTCCAACTACTCAATCTATGGTATCTTTGACTCCAACTCCTTTACGTAAAGATTTAAGAATATATTAATTATGTACTTATTATTTATTTCCTGTATTGATTGAAACCACTCAACTTTGTGAGAGGTAAAGAATCTTGGTACTCTTGTCTGGCCTCTAGTAGATTTCTGATCTTTAGCCCTGAAGTAGATGGAATGTCTTTACTGCTGTCTTTTTCATTCACAGCTTCTAACCATTAGGATGAAAATGTCGGAAGTTTCTGTTTTAATTTTAGGCTCTTGTAGTGCATTTATTAGACCCACAAAAACATTTTTGTAACACATGTCTTTTCCCAATCATCTTTTGCTATAATATATTGACACACATAATATTTCCATCTGTTATTATTGTAAAGCCAGGATGACAAGATTTGGCATCATATGAGGCAATTTGTCAGCATGAGCTTTGGCGGATGGTTTCTCTTTCATGGTGACTTACTAATCTGTTTGAAACTTCTCAACTTTTGTGTCACTTTTCCAAGGAAAAGGATTTATACAGGTTTTATACCGAGAACACTGATGCTGCTGAGGCAAGTAAGTGTAGTGTTGAAGTGTTTTAACTATTTCTTCCTCTATCATACTGTAGAATCAGGAATGGCAAGACTGTCAAGTAAGATGATGGAACTTTAAATTTTCTTCTGCATGTATAATTTGAGCACCAAATACTCTGAATTAGTTTTTGAACAACTTGCATAGATAGAACACTTATTTCTGTTGAATCTCTGAAATTATCCAATAACACAGTGAATTGTATAAGAAAGAGGACTCATCATGTATTCTGCTGTTTACTTCCTATTCTAGCAGGGTTGCAACTCAGAAACAAGGACCTTAAAGCCCACAAATCTTGCTTTTTAGAGCAGGTGGAACAAACAAAAAGTGGAGATGTTGTGACTCTCTACAGTCTCTTGCAACAGCTACTAAGGGTAAAAGGTACTCTGTGCATCTCCACATTGTAAACTGATGTTATATGCCAGAGGTAAGCAGATGGGAGATCCGGGCTGGGAGTAATTTGCAGTAGATCCACAAGGTTTTCTGACTGTCAGAGGTTTCATAAAAGCAAGAAGGTCTTCCCCCCACTTGTACTGTTAAAACAAGGGAATCTTGGGGAAAACCAGGACTGACTTTTTTTCTGGGTAGGAATGTGAGCTCAGTCCTGGTAGTGTAAAACATATTATCTGGCTCAGCAGGTGTTCATCTGGGCTCCATTCCTGAATTTTAAGTGTGATAATATCCATCCCCATCCCACTATTTTGTGCTAGGTGCTTCTATAAAATTGTGAGAGCCAGTGTGGCGTAGTGGTTAAGAGCACGGGACTGGGACTCAGAGGATCCGGGTTCTAGTCCCCACTCGGTCATGGAGCCAACTGGGTGACTTTGGGCCAGTCACAGCCTCTCAGCCCGGCCTACCTCACAGGGTTGTTGTTGTGGAGATAAGACGGAGGAGGAGAATGATGTAAGCTGCCTTGAGCCCTTTGTAGGAAAAAGGCAGGATATAAAATAGATCCTTCACACCTGAATTCTGGTCACACATTACTAAACATTAGAAATCAAACAAAATTATGGGATTTCTGAGCCTACTCTTTTGAGAGGAATGGACATTATTTCCAGCACATCTCACTTTACCCCTCATTTCTGTTAGTGGAGGATTCAGTTCCCAACTCATTCCAGTCTTGATATAATTTCTCTTAATAATGAAAAATACAATTGTCTTAGGCAATCCTATAAATTTACTCAGAAGTACATCCTACAGAATTCAATGGGGCTTACTACTGGATAAAAGGTCTCAGGGTGCAGCCTAAGAACAGTGAATCCTCTGAAAGGTGCAAAACTACCTTGTAACTGCTAACCCCATTCATTTGTTAGTATAAACTCTACAATCCTGATTAATATTACTTTATCACTCACAGCAATCTATCTCAACTAGCTTTCAATTACAATCCAGTTTCCACATCTGTCTACAATATATGTTTTCCTATTCTCATCTTCCATATCCCCCACTTCAACCTGTTTGAATCAGCACAATAGCCTTCTCTTTACCCTCAACCATATTTTACTCTTCTACTGAAACTACTTTGGAACAATACTTTGGCATGCCAACTTCTCGCCACCCTTGAAATTAAAATAATTTTATTTACCCCAAACAGTTATTTCTCCATATCTTTAACTGATCCATATTTTCTCATAATCCAAGGAGTTTAGGAGCAGAAAAGTACACCTGCTTATATTATCCCAAAATACTTTTAAGAAGCAGAGAAAACACGTCTAAACCACATCAGTTGTGTTGGCACATATAAGGTTGCAACCCTATAACCATTTGTCCAGGATTAAGAACTACGGCACAGAGTGGAACTTAATTCTGAGTAGCCATGCACAAGATCGCGCTGGAGATTAAATTAGCACTAAGCTATAAATATATAGATCGTCTTTGATAAACTTGAACACCAGTCCACGAATAGTGCAATCCTATCCATACTCACTGCAAAGTAGGATCCACTGTGTTCTATGGGACTTAGCTTCAGGTTAATGCGTAAAGCTCCGCAGCCAAAAGCTCGTTTCAGTGTCGTGAGGAGCCCCTAACGAAGATGCGAAGCAAGGAAAGGAAGAGCGAAAGCACGTGTTGGGGCAAGGGCTGGCCACCTTCTCCATGCTTCCCCTCGTCCAGAACTGCTACCTTGCCCTATGCTCCCGCCTACTCATCTTGGCTTTAAATGTCGCTCTCGTGCGACCCACCTATCCACCCCCGCCATTTTCCCGAGCCTTTTAACCCTCCGCCTTCCTCCTCACCTTGCAAGCTGCCGGGTTCAGCGGGAAGCTTTCGCAGTAGTTATGCCGGGTCCAGTCGAGGGAGTCCTTGAGCTCGGGACGGGCGCTCCGCTTAGCCTCGCGGATGCGCTTCTTGCTCTTGTGGTTCATGCTCCCACTCCCTGCGAGCTGCTCACTCTCTTCCTCGCCCGTCTCTTCAGGCGACGGAATCGCTGGAGACGGACACCCCCACCCGAAGGCACAGCGCCCCACAGCTTCCAGAAATTTCACGGCCGCACCAACTCAGCCGCCGTACCGCTACCTCGGCTCAGCCAGCCTTGCTTCAAGCCTCCCTCCTTCCCATTGGCTAGAGCCTCGCGTACGAGCACGCTCATTGGTCATTGTGGAAGCGGAAAGAAAGGCGGAGGAAGCGATTTAGGCGCCGGCGCCATCTTGAAGAGTTAGTACCGCCCCTCCATCTCAACGGGCTATGTCATCACAGTGCGATGTGAAAAACTAAGACAGGCTCTTACCAAATTATGGGAATACTCTATGGTTTACGGACCCAATAGTGTCTATTTGATAGATGTACCTCAACAAACACATTGCCTGTATAAAGTTACTAGTGCGTGAGGTCAGAGAGACTGAGGGAGAAGAAGCATTAAAAGATGAAACAATAATTCACTTATAAGAGGTTTCTAGTCCCTTATAATTTAAAATAAAATCTGTGCACTAATCCAAGGTACATTTATGCCAGATTATCCCAGTTAGTTTGATAGCACTGAAATTAATCCCAAGAAAGTGTATATAGAATGGCAATCAGACTGATTAGGCTGGTACTCTCTTCGGACAAAGTTCCTTATCAAAGACTCCCAAGCAAGTTTATCAGTGACTGATTCACAAGAGAAGTTCTCTTATAGATCAGTCCCAGATTAGAGAACAGAAAGCAAAGAGTGAGGATAAATGGGACATACTTGCAATGGAAGAGTAAATAGTGGGGTTCTAGAGACCTGTAAACTGATCAAGGGGATGGAACATCTCTATAGACAGAGGTTAAAGCATCTGGAATGAGCTTAGAAAAAGATGGGTAAGCAGAGACATGATAGAGGTGTACAGAATTATGCATAGTGCGGAGAAAGTGGATAAGGAGGCTATTTTCACCCCCATAATTTTAGAACCTGGGCTATCCCATGAAGCTGAATAGTGGGTGATTCAGGACAGATAGAAAAGTACCTCTTCACACAGTGCATAGTGAAACTATAGAATTTACATCTACAAGATCTAGTGATGGCCACCAATTTGTCGTTATGTGTTGGAAAATTGTCTCTGAATTACGGCGACCCTATGAATGAAAGCTGTACTGTCCATGATAGCTCAGTTCAGTTCTTCCAAGTTCAAAGCTGTAGCTTCCTGTATGGATTCAATCATCTCATATTTGGTCTTACCTTTCATCTTCTGCCTTTGACATTCCTTTAACGTGCTGGCAAGACTCTTGCCACTGAGTTTTGCCTTCTCATTATATGTCCGAAGTGTGACAGCCTCATTTTTGTCACTTTTGCTTCTAGGGAAAGCTCTGTTTGTCTTTCTGTCAGTCCAGGGTATTTGCAAAGCTCCCCTCCAGCACCATGTTTGAAACACATCAATTTTCTTCCTATCAACTAGCTTCATTGTCCAGCTTTCACACCCATACATTGTGACTGGGAAAACAATAGCATGGATGATCTTGGCCTTGGTCTGCAGTGAAACATCCTTACACTTAATCATATTTTCTGGTTCCTTCATTGCTGCCCTTCCAAGTCTCAGTATTATTCAGATTTCTTGGCTGCAGTCTCCCATTGAATTGATCACTTAGCAAAAGTATGTGAAATCTTTCACAATTTCAATTTCTTCATTATCAGCAGTAAAGATCTAGTAATGGCCACCAATGTGGAAGGTATTGAACAGGGGTTGAACAGATTAATGGAAGATAAAGCTATGAATGACTAGTAGTCCGAATGACTATGTTGCTCTCTCCAGTATCAGAGGCAGTGTGTGTATGTTACATGGATTGCTGGGGGGCATGAGTGGGAGGATGCCGTTGCACTCATGTCCTGCTTGTGGGATCCTGTGTGCAGCTTGTTGGCTCCCATCTGAACAGAATGTTGGACTAGATGGGCCCCTGGTCTAATCCAGCACTGCTGTTCTTACATTCTTATGGAGATGTTTGAATTTTGGGAAGATTCTTCCTACAACCCCAAAGGTGCCACCTGATACAGAGGCTAGAGTACACCATGAGGCAGTATGCCTCTGCATGCTTGGTGAGGGGGAACCTGAGCTGGAAGGCGATATTAAACAGAAATAAAACTGCTGAGCAACTGACCAAGTGGCTTCTGATACACAACCGCTCATGCTACAATAAGGTTGCACACACTTTCTTTGGAGTAAGGAACATTGAACTCAGTAGGACATACTTTTCAGTAGATATGTGTAAAATTGTGCTCTAAATGATTTGATCAAACACACGCACAGGACAAGTTTTAGGTTCAACTGTGAACTCCACCTAGTGCCCTTCCAGTGTGTTGGTCCACAACTCCCATGCTTCCCAGCCTCTACAGCCACTGGTCACATTGCTTCGGAATCAGGAGTTGGAATCCACCATGTCGGAAGGACAACACACTGGAGGAACCTTGCCCTGTCTCATCTCATTAGGTCAAATAATAGCTTTGAACAGTCAAATCTATGCCAGGAAAACCAGTTCCGAAGCGTAAGGAGACGAGGAACCACCCCCGCCCACACCGCCTGTCTTTCGTGTCCCGCCTTCTTCACTGCTGGCCGTGATTGGTTGATTCGACGGAAGACGCGTCGATGGTCTTGGCTGCGGATGGTCCTCTTAAACTTCAATCTCAGCTCTTTGAAGTGTACGCGAAGGCGCCGAAGCGCGGTATGGCTGCGCGAGTGTCTGGAGCCTTGAACGGGGAAGGGCTCCAATGAGCGATCCGATATCCAAAGTCACTGTGAGAGAATATAGGTTTGTAGGAGAAGAGCAAGAGGAGGAGGAGGGAAGAGATCAGCGGAACCCAGAGCTGCTGGTCCTTATTCCCGAGGTGCCGTTCCCTAATAGTAATAACAGTGAATATGCAGGAAGCATGGTTTGGAACGATGTAATGCAGAAGGAGAAGAAATAAGTGGCGGGCATATTGCATATATGAAGCAAGCTAATTGGGTCTGCAATTGGAACAGTTCGAAAATTTCATCTGGATCATTTGGTGATACATTCTGGTTAGGTTCCACAGTTTAAATAGTGTAATACCTTTATTAGGCCAGCTGCTTTCAAGATCTTTTAATCAGGCAAAACGTTACAAAAGGCAAGTTTGCGGGGTGGCAGAATAGGAGGGGATGAAAGGCTGGCTAATCAAAGCCTAAAGCCGCAATCCTATGCCTAGATAAAAAAAGGGGGGCTTCAAATTACCAGTATTCTGCACCCAACTTGACTTGCTAGGGATTGCTGAGTCATAGGAGGTTTTTCTGCTTCGACTTGCATAGGATGATAAGCCTTGTGGAGCATGGTACTTGATGAAGAGATCTGAACAAACTGAAACCCTGCACATTTTTTTTTCATGATCCTTGAGTTGGTCCGACAAAGGCATTTCACTGAATGGTTGCTGGCATTTTTCTTCTTGTTAACACGGTTGCCTTTGGTTTTTGCATTCTGGTTTTGGACACCTTAGTGAAAACTATTTTGGGCAATAATCCTAGTATCTGGGACTTCTTGAGGTTTTTAACTTTGTTTATTAAAATTGCAGAATAAAAGGTAGTTTTTACATGTGTGCAGCCCACTTTTGAGCAGTGAGAACTTTGGGGTGGTTCTATCACTTTTCTAGGGTTCATTTTTCTAAGAAGTTCCAAAGGGATCTCTCCAGGCTGGAAAAATGGGCATCAAAATGGCAAATGCAGTTCATTGTAAGCAAGTGTAGAGAAATGCATACTGGGGCAAACAAGCGCAACTTCATAGGCTGATGGGGTCTGAGCTAATAGTGACTGGACGGAGTTGGCCCAGTGTGCAGCTGCTGTGTTAGGTCTAATTAGGAACAGAATAAAAAATAGAACCACCAAGATTGTATTTCCTTTATACAAATCTTGATGAGACCACACTTAGAATATTGTATACAGTTCTGGCTACCTTACCTTAAAAAGGATATTATTGAGTTGGAAAAAGTAGAACTGAAATGATCAAGGGGCTGAAGCAACTCTCCTGTGAGTAGCAACTTCAACAACTGGGACTGTTCCATTTTAAAAAAGCAGATTAAGGGGAGACCCATAATAGGTGTTTGAAATTAAGCATGGGGTGAAGAAAGTGGAGAGGGAGATATTTTTCTCTCTTCCCATCATACTGGAATCTGAGGTCATCCCATGAAGCTGAGTTTGGAGGGTTAGGACAGATAAAAGGAAGTACTTCTTCACATGACATATAGTTAAAACTATGGAATTTGCTGCCACTGGGAATGCCACCAAGCTGGCTTCAAAAGGGGATTGGACAAATTCATGGAGGAGGAGGCTATCGGTAGCAACCAGCCTTGCTAATTATGTGTTACATGTCTGTGTACACCAGCTGCTGAGGAGCTTGGGCAGGCGAAGATCTTGTAGCCATCCTGCTTGAGGGATCCTGTGTACAGAGTGTTGGTCTGGACAGAACATTGGTTCTGATCCAGCACAGCCTCATTTTTCATATTTTCGTATATTCTGAGGTTACTGGAGACTTACAGTGTCTCTGTGATAAAAGTTTTATTTGCATGCATTAACATTCCAACAGATTACAGATGTTTAAGAGAACCACAGTGCTATGAACATCCTGCAAAGTTAGCTCTTGCCTCCTTTTGTGATTTAGTTCCGGCAGAAACTGACCAAAAATGACAGACCTAGTAGGACAGAAGGGTGAGGCATCATCATGCATCACCTGTTCCTTTTTTGCTATCCTAATCCTATTGAAAACATTTCTAGCTATCAATTGCCCTTTTATCTTGAGAGACCTTGTCTTAGGGCACCTCTACTGACAAAAATCTTACAGTCAAGAATGAAATGGCTGGAAGGGATGTTGCATCTGTTTGCAGTCAGAGGCCCTCAGTAGAAAATATTTTTCAGATTTGGCAGCACATAAGTAATGGAAGGTTTCTGAAAGCAGTTGTCAGGGAGAAAAGAATGTTTCAGAATATTACATTACAGGCATTTGACCCGAAAGCAGAAACCATTTCATATACAATCTTATACCTTCTCCCAAGTAGTATGAACCATTGAGTTCAGTGAATCCAGGAAAATGGAATTAGTTATACTGCATTATCTCCAATATACGCTGCTGGCATCATTTGTGACAAATGGTCATCCTGCTGAATGCAGCAGTCAGCTGAGGAAGGATTTCCTTAATCATGGAATGGGCACTCTAGTACTTCAACTTCCCCTCTTTTCTTCAGATGTCTGTTGATTCTGGTTCTTTTATTACCAAGAAACCAAGCTACTCATTGCATTGGTTAACTTTTCTTAACCCACCATCTTCTAATTCTGTTGGACGGCCTTAATCCCTAGCCAGCCCAGGGGTAGCGGGAGTTGCAGCCTAACACATCTGGAAGACTGGTGTGTTGAAACTGGCTCAAAAATGTTAGGGCATATGTAAGTCTGGTAGATGTCTGCAGTAATGTTCCAAATAGAATCAAAGCTATGAAGTGGTGTTTTAAGAAAAAAATGAATTTGTGAAAGAGTTGGAAGATAATTTTCTAAAACAGAAAATGTGTGTCAATATATTTTATCTGTGTTTGTATATTCTTTGCTTCCAAGGACTTTTATTGCTAACTTTTCTTCCTGTTTATGTAGGTTCATTTAGTAAAGGCAAATGGACACTTCCATAATAATTGTTTCCTGCTTTTGATGGTGACTGTAATTATTCTGTTGTTATGTGATTACCTATGAATGAATGCCCTCCAGAATGTTCTGTCTTTGATAGCCCTGCTGAGGTTTGTAAACAAAAGGCTGCAGCTTTCTTTATGGAATCAAGCCATCTCATATTTGGTCTTCCTTTTTTTGTTCTGCCTTCAGCATCCTCTAACCGTTAGAGTCTAACATGATTGTCTTCTCCAGGGAGTCTTCCCTTCTCTGGATGCGCCCAAAGCATGACTGCTTCACCTTTGTCATTTTGCTTCCATTTTGCAAATCAGCCTGGCTTGATTTGACTTAGGGTGCTATTATCCGCTTATGCCCCTATGGGCCCACAGAAATTCTAACAAAAGGAAGTCATGGAAGTTATTACACCTGCTCCCACAGCAGTATTACATGATCATGTGAACAAGTGTTAATATAGCTATTGTTACTATCATTTAAATAATTACTATCAAAACATGGTTATGTATGTAATATCTCTCTGCACCCAGCATCTTACACAACTTGTTCTATGGATTTCACTGGCACTGCATAGAATATTGCAGGGCTGTGGAATAATACCTTCTGTTCAACCTGTAAGGTGTATTGCTGTGTGACAGATTCCAATCAATGACGACAGCTGCTTTTATATACCCAGAAGGAAAACTTTAGCTGCAAGTAACTCCACTAATGAATCAGAGGTTTCTGGGGAGACGCCAATGCTGCCGTCTGGTCCAGAATTATTGGATGAATTTCAGTTATTGTGGCCCGATGATGTGGACAAGGTGCTTGGACGAGTACGTCCCACCACTTGCCTGTTGGACCCTTGCCCGTCTTGGTTAATAAATAATTCCAAGCACGGGATTGGAACCTGGATCTTGGAAGTGGTTAATGCTTCTCTGAGGGAGGGTCAGGTGCCTGCCCCTTTAAAGGAGGCGGTAGTCCACCCGGTCCTGAAGAAAGCGTCACTGGATCCAGAGATGGCCACTAACTATAGACCAGTGGCCAACATCCCGTTTCTGGGCAAGGTGTTAGAGCGGGTGGTAGCGGGACAACTCCAAGTTCTCTTGGATGAAACTGATTATCTGGACCCATTTCAGTCTGGCTTCAGACCCAGGTACGGTACTGAGTCTGCCTTGGTCGCCCTGTACGATGACCTGTGCAGGGAGAAAGACGGGGGGAGTGTGTCCCTGTTGGTTCTTCTGGACCTCTCAGCAGCTTTGGTACCATCGACCGTGGTATCCTTCTGGATAGGCTAGCGGGATTGGGGGTCGGAGGCACTGCTTTGCAGTGGTTCCGCTCCTATCTCAACGGCCGATTCCAGAAGATAGTGCTGGGGGACTATGACTCTGTGCCATGGCAGCTATGCCATGGAGTACCACAGGGCTCCATTTTGTCCCCTTTGCTGTTTAACATCTATATGAAACTGCTGGGAGAGGTCATCAGGAGGTGTGGGCTGCGGAATCATCAGTATGCTGATGATACCCAGCTCTACCTCTCATTTTCCACTAAACCAGGTGAGGCAGTGGCTGTGCTGAACCGGTGCTTGGCCGAGGTAATGGGCTGGATGAGAGCCAATAAACTGAAGCTCAGTCCAGACAAGACGGAGGTCCTGTTGGTTGGCGGATCGGGCTTCAGACTGTGTAGTTTTTTTTACAAACTATTTAGGCTGAACTATTTGAATTTTCTGATACAAAACGAATTATGGGTAAAGAAAAATGGAGACCTCATACATTTCTTTTTAAAATATGTCCAACATGACTATGTATTACAGCAAGAGCTCTTTTTTCAGGTCCTTAATCCACACTATGGCATGTATGTTTGGCCCTGTGCTGTGGTCCTGGCCCAGTATGTCTGGTTCCATAGAAGATTAGTCCGTGGAAAGAGAATTTTGGAGGTAAATGTGCCTTTGATTCCAGCAGCACAGTGTGAAATCAGAACCTTTAAAAAACTATAATGTTCCAACATTTGTACATTTAATTTTAGCAGGAAGCTTTTTAGTTTAAATATCTTTGCTCTAACAGCTATGTTAGGTTCAGACTGAAGCCTCATGCTGGTGGGACACATGGACAACATGAATAAATGTGGTTACTGTATGACTGGCTAGTTTCTAGCTCAGCACTTGCCTTGGATAAGGTTAAAAATGTCAAATGTTTCATGGTGCTTCTATAGAAATTGCATTTTATGTCAACTGATAAAAAGTTTGCAATGCTGCTAGATAGCATTCCTCAGACTGGTGCCCTCCAGATGTGTTGGACTAGCAGCCCCAAACAACATAGCTGTTGGAGCTGGTTGGAGCATGCTGGGAATTGTAGGTCTTTTTCTGTCTAAACTTCCATAGGATTTCACCCGAAAGCTTCTATTTTTGCATTACCCAACACTTAGGATTCTAACAAGCATAATGAAGTGGAAGTAGCCACAGAAATCGCTTCATGACTTCAACCGTGACAGGAACATACACTGCTGGGTATATCTCCCTAACCCACATTTAAAATAGAAAAGGAAAGCAATGTATTTTAGATTATTCTGTGCTATATATGTGTGCTGCTTGTTAAAGTGTTACTGGTGGAGCAAAACTAAGAAATTACTGAGTGTGAACTGGTGTATCTATTTCCTCATCTAAGTTTTCCTGCTGTACAGCTGCAATATGAATCAATAGCTTTAGACCATATGTAGATTGTTGCTGCTGTTTGTTTCTGAATGAAACACAACATCATAGATTTTCTTCTGAAAAGCTTTAAAGGTAACAAGTACTTTAGGAATTGACATGTGCAATGGTGCAGCTACTTCCAGTAAAATGCCCTGAATAAACTGCTAGTGTTGTCATTCGGCTCATTAATTTCAGTCCTATACATGTCTCTTGGTTATACTGCATTTACTGGGACTGACTTCCTAGTCAATGTGTATAGGACTGCAGCTTTAGCTCCCCAAAAAAGTGACCACCCACACTCGAGTGCCACCCTGAACTCTGCTTTGAATTTAGTATTAAACTTGATATGCTACAAACCAATTTTACTTCACAGATTGGTGCAGGTGTGAGTCTTCCTGGGATAGTGGCAGCAAAATGTGGAGCAGAAACAATTTTGTCAGATAATGCAGAGTTCCCTCAGTGTTTGGACAACTGTCAAAGAAGCTGTCAAATGAACAACCTCTCTGGGGTGCATGTTATGGGACTCACTTGGGGCCATGTATCCCCCACTCTATTGGCCTTGCCTCCAGTGGACATTGTGTTGGCATCGGATGTATTTTTTGAACCAGCAGGTAAATGTTTCAGTGATGGTCATTGTATTTATCTTCAATCCACTGCTGTGCATGATAGTGTAGAAATTGATACTAAATACTCCAGTGCGAGTAGTGGCTATGAAACCCAGTGATAATTCTTCAGTTATTCTCATGACCTTAGAGGTTTAAGAATTTATAGCACAAATATGTTGGGGTCTCTATCCACTTAGGTGCATGTTACTCTTATACAGTAAAATACAACCAAGATGGAAACAAGCAATTGACATAAGGAACAAAACAGCATCTTCCCTCCTGCAAAAGCCCTTGCTGTAACTGTTAGGCTAGTTATATACTGCCTCTAGTACAACCACTGGATCTCTTAGAGGTGGCTATCCTGTGGGTTACATATAATACAAGTATGGTTGAAACTCTACCATTTGATCAAATGGTAAAACTTAACCAATTAATTGGAGCTGTGAAATAGCCCTACAAAGATTGAATAACTTTAGGACTAAATGTTATTCCTTAGTTCCTGGAAGTACTCCTTGCAATCTAGCAAATCTCAATTTATTTCTATGTTGTACCATGAATACACAATGGACCTTCCAACTGTTAGTCCATCTAGACTAGCATTGTCTGAATTAACTAACAATGACTATCAGACTGAGATCTTTTCATGGACTCAGAGTTGGAAGGCACCAGGCCATTGGATCCAACCCCTTGCTGCATGCAGAACACTCAGTCACACCATCCCACCCAGAGGACTGTCCAGAGGCTTTCTGAATGTCTTTAGTGAGGGACAGCCCACAGCATGCCCTAGGTTCCATTGTTGTATTGCTGTGACAGTGAAGACGTTCTTGGTGTCTAGTCTAAATCTGGGTTCTTTTTAATTGTGCCCTGCACTCTGGAATGGATGAGATCTTGTCCTTCCTCTTTGTGACAGCCTTTCAAGGTACCTGTAGAGTACTGCTTTATCACCACTAAGTCTCTTCTTGAGGCTGAAGATGCCCAGTTCTCTCAATCTTTCCTCATAGGGCTTTGCCTCCAGTCCCTGAATCGTCATTTCCCTCTTCACTATCCTTTTAGCTTCTCTCCATCTTTTGAAACTTAAGGTGTCCAGAACTGGACACCATTCTTTAGATGAAGTCTGACTTGTACCAAGTACAGCAAGATTATTGCTTCTTGTCTTTTGGAAGTTACACTTCTGTTAATGCAACCTAAAATAGCATTTCCCCCTTTTGCAGCTGCATCACATTGTTGGCTCATATTGAGCTTGCGATCTAAAAAAACCCCCAAGATTCTTCACATTTGCAGTATTGTTGAGCAGAGTATTCCCCATCTTATAGCAGTGCATTTGGTTTCTTGCACCCAAGTGGAGGACTTGGGGCATTTGTTCCCTAGTGATTTTATTTTGCTCTCTGCCCAGCATTCTAACCTGTTGCAGTTACCCTGTATCTTATCTCTGTCTTCCAGGGCATTTGCTATTCCATCCAATCGTGTCATCTGCTAAGTTAAATATCTTTCCTTGTATTTCATTTAAATCATTAACAAAAATGTTGAAGACCACCTATCCCAGAACAGAATCCTTTGGCACCCCACCAGTCACCTGACCCGTCTGAGAATGTGCCATTGATGAGCATGCTTGAGCTTGAATGCTGCCACAATTGTGGATCCACCTAATGGTTGCACTATGTAACCCACTTTTTTCTAGTTTGGTAATCAGAATGTCATGGGACACTTTGTTGAAGGCTTTGCTAAAGTCTAGATAATGTCCACAGCGTTCCAGTTCATTTGGGAGGTTACCCAGTAAAAAAAATTTAAGTCTGACAGGATTTGTTCTTGAAAAATCTATGTTGGTTTCTGGTAATTACTGCAGTGTCAAGGAATTTGCAGACTGTTTTATAATTTGCTCTAGAATTTTTCCAGGGATTGATGTCTTGTTGCCTGTAATTCCCAGGTTCATCATTTTTTCCCCTTTGCTGGATAGGGACATTAGCCTTTCTCATAATTTAGCACTTCTGCTTTCCATGAATTCTCAAAGACAGTTCTAAGTTTTTCCACAACTTTCATCAAAGATCTTCTTAGTTAACATACTAAGAATTCAATCCCAAAACCAAATTAAAAAAAAAAAAAAAACTTTAGGCATACCTCTCCTGAATTGGAACATTGGTTATCTTCCAAGCAGAACAGGAAAAAAAAACTAAGTAGTTTTCACAAAAGGAAAGTACAAGGAAGTCCTACTGTTATATTACTCACTGAGCTTTTACAGTGGTATTTAACAGATAGCAAGAATCCTCTGTACTCCAGCAAGGTCTTGCTATTGTATGACCCTTTTATTTAAAAAAAAAATCTATTTTGCTCAGCAAAGGGTGTGCAACCTCCACAATACAGCTGTTGGCTATTTCTAAGGGAAATGATTGGAAAGCAGCTTATAGTCAATATTGCTGGTCCAGCTAGGCCAGGGCTGTTGACACTGACTGGGAGAGGTTCTCTTCTTTCCTAATCCTGCCTGGAGATGCCAGGGATTGCACCTGGTACCATCTATATGCACTGACCTATAGCCTTTCCCTGTAATGAATGGACAAAAGTTTACTCTTCAGTTACCCTTCAGATGTGGATTAGGCAGCAGTTTGACTTTGAAACAAGAATACAGGAAAACACTCTGCTCTTTGAGACAATAGTCCAAAATGTCTTTGCAACATAACTTTAGTTCAAGACAATTAACAAGCCTTAAATAATTATAAGCAATGATGCATACATTTGCATAAACCATAGAAATATGCAAAAACAGGTTTCAGGACTCAAAAGGCCCTGCCTACCACTTTAGTACAAAGCAATGTAAACAAGCTCTTTGAATGAAGGTGTACAATAACAGTATTCCAGAATACCTATGATAAAGTTTATTATAACGTTCACAAAAATTAAAACTGTAGTTTATTAAATGTTAGTTTTAGGCCAGCAGTTAGAAATAAGCCACTGTTAACACATGTACACCAATATTACACTAAATGCGTCTTGCATTATTTGACAGACTTTGAAGATATTCTGAGTACACTGCACTACCTAATGGAGAAGAATCCACACACTCAGGTCTGGACTACTTACCAAGTCAGAAGGTATGGATGTGCAAAATCTATTCCCATGTTAAGTTCCAAGCACTTTCACAGACAAGCTAGCTTCATCATCAGATGAAGGAATATGGGTATCAAAAGCTTGCATATTTTAATTAGCCTGATAGTATTGCCCCAAGATGAATTTTAGAATTATAATGGTAAGTTATCTTCACTTTTTAAAATCTAAAATACACACAGCTAAGGTATACATTATCTGAAATATTGCTGAGACTAGTCTTCATAGAAATTTGGCAACTAAAAATTATGCTTTGAATCAAAGGTATCTGTCTTTTTTCAGTGCTGACTGGTCTATTGAAGCATTACTCTACAAGTGGGAGTTGGAAAGCATCTTTGTGCCCTTGCAGTCATTTGAGGCCAACAAGGAACAACTGGCAGGCTCTTCTCTTCCAGGGAGACACACTATCGAAATGATGATTATCAGGAGCATTCAAGCAATGAAGTCTGATCGCCTGTTTTGAGTTAAAATTTTGTTTTTGTGGTTTAGAAATAAACATATTTTTACCTCTAACTTGTCTGGCTGTGAAATACCTAGCAAATCATGTTTGATGCAACTACTACCAATTGGAAAATATGCTTCTGTAGCACCTTGCAGAGAGCAACTTTCTAGTAGCACTCTTCCTCTAAGTCCCAAAGTTACCCATCCAAATGCTAAACTCTTCCCCCAAAACAGAGGCAGTTGAACAGTGCCCCATTAGGACTGTATCCAATGGTGGTCACTCTGCTGATGGAAAAGGTCCACTATCAACAGGGAGGTCATTCTTAACCATGTATACTACCCACCAGCAGCAGATTTGATGCACAAGGAATTGCCCATCAATGCCTCTGTTCCACTGGCAGATCCCTTCAGAATGACCATCATGGGATATTACCCATACTCTATACACAAGTAAGAAATCTGGTGCCCCTCAGATCTGTTCAACAGCTCCTATGTATCATTGCTACCATGGCCCAGTTAGGGATTATGGGAGTTGTAATCCAAAGTATCTGGAGGGCATTAGATTGTCTTTGCATATTTTAAGATCATATGATCTGGGTAGGAGTCATCTTAAATCACTACTCAGGAAATCTCTAATTTGGACAGACCTACCTAACTCTAATCCCCCAAGTAGCTCCAAGAAGCCACCCAAATTGATTCCACAGGAATGTTAGTCTGTTGAGCTTTATTATCTATAAAAGATGAATTAACATATTACAAATTATTTTCTGAAAGCAACACAAGATCTCTTCACATTCTGATAGACAAAACTGACTCAGGACATTAGAGTTCAAAAAATGAACACCAAGAAAGTGTTTATTAAACTACAGACACAGTGGTTATAGTACAGAATGTTATAAGAGATACTCCAAATTGATACTTAGAGGAATGGATAAAATGCTTTAACATTACGTTTTTATATGCAAGTTCACATATGTAGATGGTCTAATTTACCATTCTGGAAAAATAAGGTGTGTTTATCACCAGCTAGATGTGCTCACTGTATGCTCCGTTATTTTTATGCAAGGCCCGGGTGACTGGAAGTGCAGTTGTCAGGCAATTTTAACTAACAGGACAGCCATTTGTTTCTGCACGACAAGGCATCGTTACAGGAGCAATCAGGAGAAAACAGGAAACAGCCAAGCACTCTGCACTGCAACACGCCACCTTAACAGCTAACCAGCATTACTCAACTGCTACACAACTGCGCCTAGTGCACAAAAATACATAAGAGAAGAGATTAGAATTTTGTCTGATAAAAACAATTCTTTCAAAATAATTGTCAGCTGTAAAGTTTAATGTTTGACTTGAAGATACTATTTCAACCTAATGCATTTGAATTTAAAATTTTGGAACTGGAGAATAAAGGCAAAAACTGAACATTTGGACAGCATTAAGCTAATTAAAGCTGCATATTTCTCTGAGAACTCTGAGGCAGCAAGTTAGTTACCAATTTTATTTGCAAACAAGTCAGCACTAAATGAACAAAAATGAAGTTTTACCTCAAATATCCAAGCCAATAATGAAATCTGTAGTCGTTCACTCCACTAAATTACAAGAAATTTGAATAATAGCAACAAAATGGCACATAAAAGTAAAAGTCTGCTATTTGAGGCTCAAAAGTAAAGTAAAAAGTTAGACAAAGTGTTACAAAATAACCTTTTCAACAGCTGGTTGCTTGTGCTGGGGTCTCTCCAATGGACTGGTGATTCATATGATCATTTCTCCTCCAAAGGCATCCTTTATGTAGGTTTCTCATCTATTTGATGTATCTAGGTGTGAAAAAGCTATAGTTCAGCAAGGGTACCCACTGTATATTTTCTATATTTTAGGGATGTTATTAGATTTCTAATAATACTGGCCTTGGCTCACCATATTTTAGAAAATGTGCATTACCCACCCTCCCACCATCACAAATACTAATGCAAACATGAAATTTTTGGAATTACTGTTGAACCTCCACTAATCACATTACATGCTGTCGGGCTAAGATCAAACCACCCTTAAATCTGAATCCAGCCCGATTCACAGAAATTACTTGTTAGTTCTTATTCAAAACCTTGAGGAGCCGTTAAATAGTTGTGAAACCTTAACAGTTCTAGGCCCCCTTCCTTTGAAAAAAAAGGACCAAACAATTTGAGGGAGGTTAAAGACACACTATCCATTTTCCCCACCCAGCATCTCCTTACAAGCCCACAATTGCACTGGAGAAGAAACTGGTTTCCATCAACTCCTGCATTTCAATTTCCACTTCTAAGAGTATTTGCTGATGAACTCTGTAACCGCTGATTCTTCATTAACAGGATAGTGTATCTTTAACATTTAAAGACAAACCTGCTCCAATACACGCCCACAGAAACTGGTCCCTGGAGGATCAGCCAAATCAGTTAAAATCTGCAATACTGGCCAATATTCTTTAAGCAAACAGGAGACCGCAGCTTTAAAGGGGAAAATGCAGATGTTGGATAAGAACAGTAAGAAAATAGTCATTTTCAGAAATAGGTTGCGTCTCAAACAATAGATATTAAAAAGCAAGCTATTAATTGCAACAAAACACAAAGATACCCTTGATTAGCCATAAACTAAAATGCCCTCCTCAGAAAGGAACATGCCCCATTAGGAATTACTTGCTCTAGAATGCTACATGAAGGACCAATACCTGCTGAATCGCTACAGTAAAGCATGCAAACACAACAGAATGCCAGACACGTTACCATTTTCTTAGGATGACACAGCTCCTTCCTCTTCGGGAGACTTAGGGGGGCTCTTCGAACGGGATCTTGACTTCGATTCTCTCTTGGAAACAGGTGGAGGACTTCTTGACCTGGACCGGGATCTCGAACGCGAACGAGACCTGGAAACAGATGAGGACTTGGACTTCGATCTCCTGGCCGATCTGGACTTGGAAGTTGAACGAGACCTGGATCGTGTGCGAGATCTCGATTTGGAGCGACTGTAACGCGATCTGCTTCGGGATCTGGATCGGCTCCTGCTTCGGGATCGGCTGCGGCGCCGTCTTCTTGGGCTGCGTGTACCAGGGGGGGAAAAAGGGCGAGAAATTGGATAATTGCCAGAAAATCCTGTATTATTTACCTTCGGGAGCATTCTTCACCGCGCTAAAACACGAGGAAATCCTAGGCCACCTCTTCGATCCCTTACCCTCCGACATCACGTGGTTTAAGTTACTTTCCCGCCGGTCTTACCCAAAGTAACTTTGCCGCCTGCTACGTCGCTGTAAGCCTTTCTCCGTCCCAAATGGCTCACGCTCCACCCCCATTTCAGAACTCTCACATCTATAAGCACCCATAATCCGCTCTTCCACACCTCTTCGACCCCTTTGAGTCGTTCTTCCCGATCTGTCGCTTCTCACCTCCATCGCAGCTGCCACCCCCCGCCATGTTCCCAGCCAATCCTCACCTCCTACTGCGACGTCCGTAGCCACCACTACCGTACCGGCGCGGAGGGGGTCCCCGTCGGCTGTGATGGGAATCTGGGGGTCGGCCATAACGTGCCATCTGGACACGCAATTCCCGCCCGTCGAGCACGGCTCCGTCCATGGCATCCATAGCGTCCTCCGCGTCGCGTTTGTCGTGAAAACGCACGAAGGCGAACCCGCGACTCTCCTTGGTGTAGCGATCTCGGGGAATGTACACATCCCCCACACGGCCGTACTTCTCGAAGACGCGCCGGAGCGTGTCCGGAGAAGTGCGGTATGTCAGGTTGTCCACCTTCAGCGAGGTCATACCCTCCACGTCCGGCGGCGGTCGCCCGTAACTCATGGCGAACGGGCGGGAAAGACGAGGATGACTTGGAGAAACGACTACAGCAGGGACTCCGCGACCAAGACCACAGGAAAGGCTTTGCAATGAGGCCCGGAAGTGTCACGGACCTGCTGTAGTCGGTTTGAAGCACGCGGACCTGACTTCACTCAGACGCCTCCATCTCCGAGCGCCGCCACGAGCAAATGAACGAGGCGCCGCCCTTCCTCAAGCACTTAAACCTCACAAAATGGCCGCCGCTGCCCCGGAAGTAATCTGGAACCTTCCCACGCTCGGCAGTTATCTCAAGAGTTAAATTAAGTTTAATTACGTTCCCCCTTTTTGAACGGGACATGGTGATAGAAAAGATATCTTTAGCGGAACTGGAACAAATGGAGGAAGACGGCAACTATTATCAGCTTTGAATGCTTAGATGCCGTTAGGACGAAACCCCGGAAGGGATTATATGTATTTTCCCGAGCTCGGATACTATTATTTTTTAAATGCCAACAAGTACAAAAGAGGTATAGTGAATGTTGCTTATAAATATGTAGAGTACATTTTTAAGTGTTGTTAAATGTTGGTACTAACGTGAATGTTTGCCCAAATAGATGAAATATTGGACTCAAAATGGCGGTGAAGGAAAAAAGGAAGTTGAGTGTTTGGGGGCGCGCACGTAGCGTGCGAGGAGAAAGGGTGGGGCCAAGGGGCGTGAAGCGGATATGATTTTTTTAGCCCTGCCGCATAGAAGAGGTGTGAGGCTGGAGGGGCGTGGCTGGTTTCTGCTCCGCCCACTGCTTTTCGCGCCGAGTTAAGCGCTGAGGGCCGGTGCGGCGCCCGCCACTTCCAAGGAGGTGGTGCTTGTTGTTTGTGTTTGTAATGAGGCCATGATTAGTTACTAAGAGATCCTAGACAAAGGAAAAGCATAGGTAGCAGTGTTGCTTTATTAAACAAGGCCAAGAATCTTAATCTCTAATAAGGCAGTATGTTTGTTAGGATCAATCAAAATGACACAAGATGGTGAGGAAGCCTTGGAAATTTTCAAGCCGGACATTATAAGATTTTTTTTTTTAATGGTGAATATTTACCTTGGTTAGAGTGTGAAGATGGAGTCACTTGCCTGAAAAAATACTGTTTGCTTTGCAGCATTTACCCTCGAGCAAACACCTTGAGTGTATGGTCTGAAAGAGCCTGAGTTTGAATCTTAAGGATGTTAACTTGTTAGAAATGTAAGTTTTTCCCACTCCCCAGAGCTTCCTTGTTAGAAACTTTTACATAACATAGAATCTGCAGTTATTGGATTTGCTGGGACCATACTGTTCCATACACAAAACTGGAGGTCCTGAAATGAAAGGAAATGACTTAAGTTCTATGAGAAGCTGATAGTCTGAAATAAAGGAAACCGGGTGTACGGTACTCTGTGCTGCTTCAGGTATTGGGAAATAACTTTACAATAGCTCTAGCCTCTTTTCCCTTGCTGTGTGTAATACAAACAATGGCTGGATTATTCTGGAAATGACTTTCGTATAGCCAGAAGTGCCTGAGCCTGCCTAATCTTGGAAGCTAAAAAGGGTCAGGCCTGGTTAGAATCTGAATGGGAGACAAGCAGTGGGTTGTACCTGATGGCCTTCTGTAGCCCTCTTCCAACTTAAAGCTCTATGAACTTGATAAATATTTGTGTTGATTTTAGCAAAGACAAACATTCACAAACTGACCACACAGATTTAGTTCCTCTGGAGTAGTCCCAAAGAAAATTCACACTATAGGCAATTGGTTTACTTGAGGTAAGGGTATTGAACATTGCAGTTGATGCATCAGAATATGAATGACAAGTAAAATTGCAAGATTAGCATTTCAGAAATCTGTGATATTATGGAGTATACCTAAATCTCTTGAATCTCAGACCACTGTTCTAACCAGTATACCACATTGGTTCTCAAAATAGAGGTAATGCTGAGTTAGTTGATTTCTTGGATGCAAAATTTATAAGTGATTTGTTAATGGAGCTGACAGTTCTCAAAAATAACTGGTGGTCATTTTGTTTTACGAAATGGTGATAATCTGAAATAGGGACAATAGAGAAATACAAGGGGTATCCTTTAAAATGTACAAGTGATATTCCACTTCACTAGTGATATTTGTAATCACTTTATGCACCAGTGATGGTCTGTTCCCATTGTGAATCTTCTGCTGAACTGAAAAGTATTATCAGCAAGCCTGCTGTGTTGCTTTCTCACCGAACCTCATTGGGAATTGTCAAGAAGTGGACTACAGTCAAATACAAATGCAGTGATAGAGCCAAATAATTTTAAGATCTGGTTAATGTTATGCTGTCACATTCACATGGTTGTGAAATGTATATTACTTCAGTTATGAAGCATACAACAAATGTTTCTTTTCCTGTTCCTATGTGCCATTCCTTTCTGTACAACTGCTTCTATATTCTTGATGTGTTCCATCCACAACTGTTAGTCAACCCTGATTTAAAAAGAAAACTCTAAGCATCTGCAGCTCTCTATTTTAACTGACTTAAGTCATAGCACCATCTTGATTAGAGGTTGCTCCTGTTGCCCTAATATCTTTATCACCTGCCACTATCTGGGGGTGGGGGCATCATTTGAGGATCCCTGGACTTCTGCCCTAAAGTGCAGTTCTAACTGCACCACTTCCTTTATGTGATGGAAAAATAAAGTGCTATGTATGAGTAATGAAATCTTTAAGCCCCCCCAAAATAGTTCATTCTCAATACAGAGAATTCACAATATCCTGAAATGCCTATCTGAAAGTATGTCCTATTATATTCTGTTACTCATACTTAGCAATGTGTTTAGGCTTGCAGCTGAAAACAGTGACTAGTAACTTAAATGCCCAAATAAAATAAGCCCTGCTTGCTTGTTTTATATATTAAACTGGCAATGTTGTCAGCTGTCGGATCACTTGCTGGGAAGGCTTCTGCAGCATGCTGCTTCCAAACCAAATGTTTGGGAATTACCAGCTTGAAGCAACAGATGTTGCTAATAGCATATTTGGGGTGGGAGGGGGGATCTACCAGTTGCCTGGATAAAATTATTGGATAAAATGAGATGAGGTTGTATTGTAACTAGGATTGTAATTTTTTAAAAAAGTCCTGACCAAAGCATGTGATTTTAATGGCTGCATAACAGCAGAAATCTGAGAAGGGCGGCCTTTCAAACTTGGAGCTGTAGGCCAGGCATGATTTGCTGATTTTTTTTTTCTTGGCAGTGTAATTGCTAACATAGCACTGAGTGTCCCTCGTTAAAAATGTGACAGACTAAGCATAGGATTAGTGGAATACTATCTGCACATGCAGATGCATCATGTGGTTCAGAATTTCTGTGATGGTACTATTCCATACTGTAAGTGGAAGACCAAATGTTGGAATACTATGAACTCCTTCCATGCAAAAAACTAGCGCTTCAGACAGGATAGGGAAATCATGATGTGGAGGACCAGTTAAACATTCTATTCTTCACAGGCAATTCCAGGAACACTCTACCAGATAGTTTGTCTGAATATTCAGTTTTATCAGCAGCAATAACAACTACTACTAAGAACATCCTTTGCATTGAAAGATGTGTACTGCAAGCATTATCCTAAGTGGTTGACAGTACATCTAAAATTAATAAACCAAAGATGGGATCCAGCACTGTCATTCCATGAATGGAATTGCTTCTGTCTGCTGATCTGGGAGGGCATACACGGGAGGAACTCCCCCTTGCAGTTTCCTGCTGAGAACCAGGAAGGGAAAGAAAACCAGCGCTGGATTTAAGACTAATATTACAATTCTACATGTGGGACGAAACCCCATTGACCTCTGTGGACTTGCTTCTGAACAGATGCATATTGGATTTTGCTATATCTAACCATTTTTGAGCAAATTCACAACAATATTCAGAACAATATAAATTCCGAACAATATAAAATCAACTCTAGGCTTCCCATTTCCCAGGTCAAATTATCTAGAACAAATTTTACTCAAACTTTAGCTAAAAGGAGGGGAAAAATGCTGCCTTATTTATCTTGAGACATATTTTAACATTCAGTGAAACTATAAACATCTTTGGGTCATAGATTTCCTTTCAAATTAATTACTGAAGTAAAGAAAGTAAAGTAACCGGTACTGGCCATTTGCTAGTACTGGTTTTCGTGAAGAAACTTTTAGAACTACACTTCCCAGAATTCATATCCGGTTTCTTCCTTTTGATCAGCTGATCTAACTTGTGACAGGATCATTATTTCCTGTTAAACATGAATGGAAAGTGTCTGTGTTTGGGAAATCCGTTTGTGCTCATGCGATTAGTGCATTTTTGTCCCTGAACTGTTGAAATGTGTGGTGGAGAAGTGAAATGCCCAAGGAGATCAGCTGGGGAAGAATGCTTATTTGCCGTGAGCGTATTGTTGTCCTGCGTCTGAATGGTAGAAGGAATCTTAATGACTTGGACTGTTTTGCTTAGAAAAAAGGTGAGTGTTGGGAGTATTCATGGAGGTATGCCAAATTATGCATGATATGGAGAAGTGGTTTCTCTCCTAATATTACAACCTGGGACCATATCATGAATGATGGAAAATTCAGGACAGATATAAGGAAGTACTTGCTACCACATGATATAGTGATGGCCACCAACTTTGGTGGCTTTAAAAGGAGATTAGAGAAGTTCATGGGGGAGAAGACTCCAGGAATATGTCCTGCAGAACTGACATGTCTCAGTACACTTTACCTTTTCAACACTTCCCCAAGTCTTCAGCTGCTCAAGAAAGGAAAAATATTATTTTCACTCTTTTCATGGGTCCCTTTCAGAACATATAATACTGTGGTTATTGTGAGGTTTTTTTTTTACGAAAATGTATGTGAAATATAACAATGAAGTAAATAAAGAATATTTGTGGACCTGTAGTAATGAAGTAGTTATGGTATGCAAAGATCCCCTCCGTTTATATCCCACCCTTTAAATTTTCATACATTTTGGTGCCATCTATATCTCAGCTGTTATAGTTGCATATAGTTCTGCAGTTTTTAAAGAACTGTAAGGGACAGTAGTAAACATTCCAAAAGGAGCCCCTAAAATGGGGAGAGTTAATATCTCTCCCCTCTGAAGTAGTTGGAGACTCAGAAATGTAGAGAACACTGTCTGTTCAACATTGAAAAGCCAATGGGGAGATACTGTGCTCCCCACCCTTTTGGTGCACTTTGTGCTGCAGTTTCTCCCCCTTTGATAGTGCTTTTCAAGTGACAGCTAGAAGGCTGTGTGTGAATTAGTTTTTTTTTATTTTTCAATTTATATCCTGCCTTTTTCCTACAAAGGGCTCAAGGCAGCTTACATCATCTCTCCTCCCCCATCTTATCCCCCACAACAACAACCCTGTGAGGTAGGTTGGGCTGAGAGTCTGTGACTGGCCCAAAGTCACCCAGTTGGCTCCATGGCTGAGCGGGGACTAGAACCCAGGTCGTCTGAGTCCCAGTCCCATGCACTTAACCACTGCACCACACTGGTTCTATGGAGTCTCACTTTGTCCTTCTTTTACACCCTTTACCTTGCTGCTCTGTTTGATGGCTGAAACAGACAAAGAATTTGTCTAGGTAAGGGTATACATACAAGGCAGTTGTAAAAGTGCACTTGTGAATGACCAGTACTATTGCTACTACTACTGTATTTATAATTTAAATATGAACACAAGTGCTCAATTTTCAGAGGCCAAAAACAAGCAAAGGTAGCAAACCAGTAACAGTTGCTCTGAAGTGTTGTTTGGCCACTGATGAAGAGGCTTTCACTGGCGGTGGAATGGGGTTTCACTACTCCTGCTGAGTGGCTTCCTAGCCATTTCTCACAACCCATGATGAAACTGCTCCTTGGGTTTGGCTGTAACAACAACCCATCAGTGACTGAACAAAGCATGTGTTATCAAGATGTCTTGTTCCTGAAAAAGAAGCCATCCAGCAGAAAGGTGTCTAGGTTCACCTAGGGTGACAACAACCCGCCATGGCTAGTTATCTGTGCTGGATTATAGTATCATGCAAACCAGGTTAATGTCTGCTAGTCATGATCACTATATGCTACTCCTGGTACTGAGGAAGAATGCTTCCAGATTGTAGTTGCTGGGAAATGCGAATAATATGATGCTGTAATAATCTAATCTATTGCACTCATATCCTACTTGTTCACTTCCCACAGGCAGCTGTGTACATAATGCTGGACTAGATAGACAACCCATTGCCTTATGTTATATGATCTCTCTTTCCTATTATCTGATGTGTTTTCCTTGTTATTGTTGTACTTGGTTCTTACAAGATGTACACAATTTACCTTGGTTTTTCAGAAAATAATTAGGAAAAGAGCCATCAGTTTAAAACTTATGTATGCTGTGATTTTTGTGTTGTCTTGGCAGAAACTTTAAAAGGAACAGCTTAAAAGGTAGACATTCTCCAAGATTCAGGCTGATATCATCCTGAGAAAACAGAAAATGAATTCTGAATCAAAAAAGCAGTTGAATATCATAGTTCTAGGAACAGCTTTTATGTTTATGTTCACTGCTTTCCAAACTTGCGGAAATGTTGCGGTAAGTACAAACATGAATACATCTCTTCCTTCTCCCTCCCTGTTCTTCATAGAAGTTCAGTCTCAATGGTTCCTTGCTTTTGGGTTATAAGCACATGTCATATGGTGCTCTATTTTATTTCCTTTTATTGTCTTTAATTCAAAACCACTGCTGAAGCAATCTGAAGCAAAATTAAAGTTGTACTTCTAAATACATTTGCTCTGAATTAAGCCTGATTGGGCACAGTCTTACTTTCAAGGAAAAACACAAGATTGTGTGGTAGTTCCTGGAAATAGGGACCTGATTTTTCATTCAGTTTTAAGTTCGATATGGGGATGGTTGACTTTATGCATCTTATAACATTCTTATTTCAGAATCTGATGCTGTTAACTACCAATATCTGTACCTTTTTATTAATTCCAACAGGACATCTCTTTCCATTATTTTTAGCACTCATTCCCATCATATGTGTGGAGTTTCTTGGCTTCTGGGTAAACAGAAGAGATAGAAGGTAGTTCTTTCTTTTGTAGGTTGCATAAGGCGGAGTTGAGCAACGTGTAGCCCTCTATATCTTTCTACCTACAATTCTTATTAGATCTAGCTAGTATGAAAACTAGTGGTTGACAGGCAAAACACTTGTAGCTCACCCCAACCCTAATGTGATGAGGAATCAAGGGCACTTCCCACGAATGACCCATTTTCCCCTTTCAGGTGTCCCCTACCACCTAATTACTTTGACAGACAGGAGCTTGGGAACATCTCACTGCTGAAGCAGTGGGTGGTTCTGCCTTCAGGAAATTAGAACATTCTAATTCTAGAACATTAGAACATGGGGATAGCAGTCTGGAAGTCTGAGTTTTTACATAGACTTTATTCTTTCCTCCCCATTGCATTTTTCTCTATGAAAACATAAAGTCCAGCATTCACATCCTAAAGAGAGGAAAATAGCAACAACATAACTCAGCTGATTATGAGTGTGAATAATCATTATGAATAATCAGTGTGAATAACTGTATGGTAACTTGTTGATTTGTATTTTGATTTCTTGTTCTCTTAAAGCTTTTAGTTTTTGAAAAAAAGAAATGATAAGGAACACTCTCTAAATATTAACTTTTTAAAATTCTCCCTGTACAGCAAACTGTTATTACAAATTTAAACCAAACTGATTTTCATGGCAGTGGCTATACAAGGTAACTTAATTGATATTTTTATTCCTTTGTTGCTATTGAGCTGTGTTGTGTGGCTGGGAACCATGGCTTCTCCAGTGAGAAAAAACCATAAATTGGGAGCATTCATTTGGGAGCACCAAATTTGGACATTATTTAGTTCATTTCAAATAAGAACAGAAGCTTCTAGCCTCACCCATTGGCATGAGAGAGAAGAGAAAACAAGGAAGCTGACTTACAGCAGATGTAGCTTTTCATGTAAGCCACAGGTTTTCAACTTCTTTGAGGGCTAAATTCCATGTTGGAGAAGCTCTCTAGGGTTGCACTCCAATAGTAAGCAGAGCTGAAGGCAAAAGGGATGGAGCCAAATAGTAAACCTGCCAACACATCTTAAAGTACTTTCTGCCAGGACCTAAGCCTTAGGAGAGGCATTTCGACCTTTAAGAATGGGGGGAAACTGCTCACAAAACCTGAAAACACCAAAGAATTGGGGGGGGGGAGAAAAGGGGGGCACAAGAAGAGGTGTGGCCCACTGGGGAACCCAGAGGGCTGGTTTTGGATCTCACACCTGATATTCAGCTCCCCTATTGTACAGCAATAGAGTGACACATGGTGCCTGAAAAAAAAAAGTCAGCCGTGTGTATATGTAATGAATGACCTGTACACAACAGGGCAAAACGGAAAGCTCACTCAGTTGCCCCTTCCTGCTTTATGAGAGTGTCTCTAACAGATAGGTAGAGATTTGGAGTGATAAGGCAAACCAGTAAACTAGTCTGAAATGACATAATCTAACATTAACTTAAAACCATTTTGGATGTTTCTTTGCTATACTTATTAAGAATTGTTGCTTTCAACAGCATGGCTGTTATTTATGGGGTGTTTTCAGCATCAAATCTGATTTCGCCATCAGTGGTTGCCATCATAGGACCGCAATTGTCCATGTTTATTAGTGGCATATTTTACAGGTAAGTAAAAATGCTTAACTCATGATATTTTATTCCAGCTGTTTTCTTCTTTTTAATTCTCCGCACTTAGAATATTAGTTGTTGTTGTGCCCATTATTAGCTGGGTCAGGACACAAAGGTGATTATTTACTGGAGAGCAAGTGGTGGCTGTTTCTGTTCTAGTGCAGAGTACAAACCACCCCTTTCTCTAAAATGGGGGAGAGGGGGCTCTGCTTCCCTTCAGATGTTGCAACTCCCACCATCCTCAAGCAGCATGGCAGATAGTTAGGAAATGTGGGAGTTGTAGTCCAGAATACATGCTGTGCCACCAGGTTGCCTTTCCTGCTCCACCTGTCACTTTTGGAAAAAATGACCAGTGATTTCAGTCTTACGAGAAAGGCAACACAGTATAGTATAGGGGTGGCCAACTTGTAGCTCTCCAGATGTTTTGGCCTACGATTCCTATCATGTTTTACCACAGGCTAGGCTGGCTAGGGCTGATGGGAATTGTGGCTCTCCAAATGTTTCAGGCCACAAGTTGCTCATCCCTGCAATATACTCACTGGGGGACTGTGAGCAACTCCTCTGCTTTCTGCTTAAATTAATTTCTCAGGGTTTCTCTTAGGCCAAAAGCTTATTCTGAGCTGCTGGGAGAATAAATGGGTTACAATGTAAGAAAATGATGATTGTGAGATCGAACAAGGCTGTGCTTTAGTAATATGAGTGTATTTGTTTCCAAGTTTGGTTTGGTTAGGAATAAGAGATTGACTTTGATAGCTAACATGAAGTAGGCCTGGTGAGCAGAAGGGGCAGGTTTCAGGATTAATTGTCAGAGGTAACAAATTGACCTGGCTTGTATGTGATGATAGCCCATTGATTGCAAAAATGATGGGCTGTTGTGCATAAATGGATGAACTGCCTGTAGCCTGCCCCTTCCATATTACTGCTCAACTCATGACTGACTGCTTCATAGGTTGTGTTGTGTGGTGTGCAGGCTGGGGCTGTTCAAGGGCTAAGGAACCCCAAAACACAGCGGCCCAGCTCATTAGACTGCTTATTTTGGGTGAGCCAATATATTAAGTGTGCAATCCTATGTAAGCTTAGACCAAATTAAATTTAAAAAAGGCTATGACTCCTGTAGTGGCTGGGGAATGCTGGGAGTTGTAGGACTTTTTTTACCTTAAATCCTCCTAAACATGGGCAGGGCATCAGGTTAAAAATATTATAATTATTTTTATGATACAGCATAAAAAATCTCAAACTGTCATCTTTTCAGCATATACATTGCCATTTTTATCCAGCCTTCTACTTGGACTTTCTACACTGCCTCTGTTTTCCTTGGAATAGCTGCCGCGGGTAAGCCCTGCCCCTTAATCTGTATGCTGCTCTCCTTTTTGTATCAAACAAACAAAATGACTATCAAGAGCACGACCAGTTTATAACTTTAATAGAGTGCTTTCATTTGAGGCTTTTATTGTACAGTAGCACTGTCTCATTCACAGAACTTTGCGGAGTCCTAGAAGCAATAGCTTTCAATTTGAGGGCTTCTCATGTTTTCTCACCAGGACATGTCACCCCATCGTGGCTTATAAATTGTGGTGGCTTATTATGCTGTGCAAGCCTGGGATGGATCTGTCGGGGTGGCTCATTATTGCTTTATAAGCCATTTTACGATCTCAGAGAAGCAGCCAGAGTCGTTCTTTCCATGATGGTTGCAAGAAGGGAGGTGATAGGGGAATCCAAACATGAATCCCCAGCTCTGAGGTCAGAGCAATTTTCTGACCTTGCATTTGGGAACCAGAAAATCCTTTGGCTGTCCAAGTACTGCCTAGTGGCCATAGTTTTGCTCTAGGGTACTTAGGTGTATTTTGTGCTAAGATTGGCTTGAAAATGCAACTATAGCCCTCAAGCAAGCTTGCATTCACAGTTATGAGATATGAGTAAGTCCTAGATTACTTTGTTCCTTTGGTTACGAGTGTTCTGATTATATTTCAGTACTCTGGACTGCTCAGGGAAACTGTCTGACAATAAATTCTGATGAGAATACCATTGGCAGAAACAGTGGAATATTCTGGGCATTATTACAGTCCAGGTAAGAAATAAAATTTGTCTTCTGTTATATCTACCCAATATTCATTAGCTTTGTTGTCATCTTTCATATTAATGAGTCCATTTATTAATCCTGTCTCTTCTGGAAAACCTATAGCAGGTTGCAACAAAAAGTACATTCATATTGCCATCCTATGCACACTTACTTGGATGCAAGTCCCATTGAAATCAACATAAACATGGATAGGATCGAGTTGTTAGTGCCTTTCAATGGATACGTGTCTGCTAGAATGACAGCTTCCTGTGTTCTGAAAGGGGTATCATAACAGTCTTTTATACAGGAGTCCTTTTCTCTAAGGCTATTCTGAGTCACTTTTGGGTCACGGGAGGTGATTGGCCTTGCTCCCGAGAGCAAGTACTCAACATTTCCCATGAACTGCCCCAGCATTATAAGACAAATAGTCAAACATTAAGAGTATCTTGTGCAGCTTACATCGTCAGTCTTTTTCTGCTAGCTTTATACAAGCCTTGCAGATATGTCTTCCATGGTGGTAGTCCCAAAAAAGTTCACCTACCCTCATGCTCATACATGGTAGCCATTTGTCTTTTCTGATAACCTAAAAAGAAGAAAAGAAACTTTTCCATGTCTGATCAACTGGAAAGGCCCCTATTTGCTATCAGTAACCTGACAGGGAGCCCCTCAGGGACCTGCTTCATGTTCCATTTGGAAGGCTATGTTGGCTGACTTCACATTTGTCAAGATGTTGGCTTGTCTCTTTAAATTTGGCAGTCTTATTGCTTAGCTAGGATACCACACCAGCACTAGAGTTAGGACAACTCAGGTTCAAATCCCAGCTTACCATGAAGCTCACTGGATGGCCTTGGGACCAGTCACACTCCCTCAGCCTAACCTGCTTCGTGCACTTGTTGTGAAGATAATGTAGAAACATGTATGCCTCCTGAAATCCATGGAAGGAAGTTAATTGACAGCTTATATTTACATTAGGTGTTCTTTTATGCACCTTGGCATTGATCCAATATGGGGACTTGGTTTACTATTTGTATCTTGTTTTCTGCTTTAAAATAATAAAAGGTATGATCCTTCCTTAGAGAATAGGCCTGCATCATGACCCAGCTAACAGGAGTTACATGGATTTGCTCTGTCTAAACATGCATAGGATTGCACTCAAACTGGCTTAAAATAAAGATTATACTTTCAAAGATGGAACAACACAATTATTAAAAATAATAAAATTGCAGCAGTTTAAAAATGCAGAAGTGTGCCACCACTGAGTAGGTCTTGCCTCTCATACTTCCCTGCTTGGTCTGGCTTATGGATAGCATGCAGAGCAGGGTCTGCCAGGCTCATTTTCAAAGCCAGGCAGCTTCATATGGGATCAGTTTGATTCTGAAGTAACCAGGTTTAAACTGTTTAAGACTGTAAAGGTCATTATCAGCACTTTAAATTAAATCCAGGAACAAATGGCCTTTTACAATCAGTTTTGAGATCTGTGAAGAAAACCAACAATAAAGAAAGGTAATTATGTGAACAAAAGGTGGAGAGGTGAACACATTAATTCCTGTTTTCCTGCCCTGTCCCCAGATCTGACTCATAATCTTTTTTGCTGATCTTCAGTTTGTATGTGTGTTCTATTTTCATTTCTATGGCTAAAAGGCATTTTAAGAATATGTAATTCTTATCTTTCTTTGTCCGGATATGTTGGAATCTGTTTGCAAACCCAAATTAATTTAGAGGTGCCCTTAATCTTTTACAATGCAATCTTAGGGATTATTTAGGTTTGTTTCAATTTAGGATTTGCAATCTTCTGATATCTTTTGTTTCTGACCAGTCCTTCTCTGTTCTTATGATGCTAATACTTTAACCAATAATGTGTACTATGTTCTGTTCACAGCTTGTTTTTTGGAAATCTATATATATACTTTGCTTGGCAAGGGAAAACTCACATATCAGGTTGGTTTTATTTTTAAAAGCAATGGAGATACTTTTAAATAGCTTTTAAAATGCCTTAGTGCTCTTTTATTTTAATGTGTAGTAGCACAATGATAAAAATTATGGAATCATTCTTTGTTGCTTGTACTTCTGGCTTTCAGTCTGCATATATAGCTGCTTTTCATTCTTTTTATTCTTATGTACACCTTCAAACTGCAATCTTGCTTGGAACTAGTTGAAACAACTGGGTGGTGCGTCTCTTTGTAACTTTACCTTGATGAGTTTTTTGGTTCTTACCTCACTCTACATCTTACTGTTTATCTTTCCAATCTCTCTTCAGAATACTCTTTCTTGAACCCACATCCCAGATAGTGAGGCTAAGCTAAGGCCAGTTACCAGAAGTGAGAATTAAATCATTTAAAGATCATTAAAGACAGGGGAGGATCCATAAAACAGTGCTTAGTGTCCAACAATTTATGCAATTCATCAATAACAACAAAACTCTTGCTCAGTTCCGAATCTGGCTTTATCCTTTTCTTTCTGTTCTTCATGCCATTCCCCATAAAATCATTCTGATTTCTTTCAAATGACAAGTACTTCAATCAATGTAAATAATTCACCTTATGTCAATATGCAAAGTTATCTTCAGATATTCAGTTTGGGTTTCATTGGTTAAATGCTTATTCAGCCTTGGTTAATATGTGTGGGTGTAAACTTTCCTCTATATGCTGTGTTTGCTTCAGCACAGAAATGGCCTCGATATTTTGGCTAGCTTGGACTGAAGTGCTATTCTTTATTAAGGGATAACACACTTTTTTCCTTTCTACAGAGAGTGACCGTAGGACTGTCTTCATCGCTCTAACAGTGATCAGTCTTGTCGGCACCGTTCTGTTTTTTCTCATTAGAACTCCAGAAGAATCAAAGTCGGAGGAAGACGAAACCACTTCTGATAACTTTAGAGAACACACGTAGGTGTCTGTGGCTGGCCTGCTGCTGCAGCAGTGTGTTCTTACCTTAGTCATTTCTAGTTATGAGAAATATGACCTGTATTCATTACAAAAGGGTTATGCAGACTGTCCTTACATGTCATACAGATAACCCTGTTTTTCTATTAATGGATAGGATGAATAGGGTGGCCTATTCTAAAAGATCAGTACTTCCTAATTTGTCTGTTATTCAGGATTAAAAATGGGACTGAAGTAAATACTTCAATACTGGGGATGCAGCAGCCATGCATCTATGTGAAAGGAATTAACCTGGGTTTGAATGAAAGGACCATTCTGTCTACATATGATACAGGAAACAGTGGCCTAAACAAGTAGTAGTACTTCCATGGTGTAAGACTGTAAGTAGATGAGGGCTTAGTTCTCACTAAGGGTGGCCAAGCTGTACCATTTCAAATTGTAGGTGGGGATTCACATGACTGAAACTTCCACCATACAGAAAAAGTGGTTAACAGAACACTAGCATTTGAGAGAGAAGGCTTGGCCAGGACCTTTCTTTTTGACATCTACTTTTCTAGACCACATGGAAATGCATATTAATAGTGTGCAGATAGATCATATGGGTTTTTATGGTTTAGGATGGTAGGCAGAACTAATCTGATAGGAAAAAGCTCATGAAAAATTCTGAAGGAAAAAGTAATTTTCATTTAATTGAGAATCCTAAGCTCTCTCTAGAAGGACTCTGGTCCTTCTTATGCCCAGGTGAGAAGCAAGGCTTTTAGTATTTTTCCCCCACCCATGGACAGAAGAAAAATCAAGTTTTCCCATTGCTGATAAGGGGAGGGAAGCATTAGATCAGGCATGTCCAAAGTACGGCCCAGGGGCCAATTGTGGCCCGTTTTCACATTTCGAGCGGCCCGCAGCCTCTTCTCCCCGCCGGCTCAGCCTGTCACTCATCCCTGCTGGCCGGCATTTTTCCCTTCACCGCACAGTGGCTCCTGCAGCTGTCCCCGCTGCCTTCTGCTCCTTCAAGGCTGGTGGTTATATTTCACCAGAAGATGGCAGTAGACCTGAGTCAGCACTCTCGCCGCGTGACCCTTGTGACACAAGGCTTGTGTGCCCATTTCTAAAATGGCGACTGTAACTAAAAAAAGAAAAGTTGACAGCGAGGGCCGCCGCTTCCAGGACAAGTGGAAATTGGGAGTATTTTTTCACTGAAATACGAAACAGCTGTGTCTGCCTAATTTGCCAAGAGACTGTGGCTGTTTTCAAGGAATTCAATATCAAGAGGCACTACCAGACGAAACATGCTAACTACAACAAGCTAACTGGGAACGAACATGGCGAAAAATTGAAGGAACTGGAAGCTGCTTTAACGGCACAGCAGCGCTTTTTCACAAGAGCCCGTGAGTCAAATGAAAATGTCACAAAGGCGAGCTACGAGGTGGCAACGCTGATTGCCAAGCACTGCAAACCTTTTACTGAGGGTGAATTTATTAAAGACTGCGTGATGAAAATGGTGGAGAAAATTTGTCCCGAGAAGAAGCAAGAGTTTGCCAATGTTTGCCTGGCTCGTAACACTGTGGTATGGAGAACTGAAGACATTTCATCTGATATTAAGAGACAGTTAGAGGCAAAAGGAGTGGAGTTTAACTTTTTTTCGTTAGCCTGCGACGAAAGCACGGATGCATCTGACACCGCTCAGTTATTGATTTTGTTTGAGAGGAGTGGACAATGACATGAACATGAGTGAAGAGCTACTTGACCTTCAGAGCCTTAAGGACCAAACAAGAGGAACAGATTTATTTGTTTCTGTTTGTTCCACCGTAGATAATATGATCATGTTATGAAACAAGTGATGAAGGCTATTAATTATATTCACTCCAAAGCCCTGTGCCACCGCCAGTTTCAACAGTTTCTACTCAACATCCAGGCTGAATACGGAGATGTTGTGTATCACAACGAGGTAAGATGGCTCAGTCGGGGGTCTGCACTGCAGCGCTTCTACTCTCTTAGGGAGGAAATCGGACAATTCTTGGCAAAAAGGGACAACCGATGCCAGAGCTATCTGATCCTGTTTGGCTGGCTGATTTTGGATTTTTAGTTGACATAACATGACATCTAAATGTGCTGAACACGAGCCTTCAGGGGCAAAATGCAGTGGTAAGCCAACTGTATTCACATATCAAAGCCTTTGGGACCAAGCTGCTACTTTTCCAAAGGCACCTGTCACAAACGCAGCCCAATACCACACATTTCTCATTGCTGCAGGAAATAATGACCAGTTTTCCACAGAACAATATGAGTGCGCAAATAAGGAGGTATGAAGCAGACATCTCATCTCTGGCTGAGGAGTTTCAACAGCGCTTTCAGGATTTTGCAGCTATTGAAAAGGAGATCATGCTTTTTTCATCTCCTTTCTCTGTGGACCCTGATGATGCTTGAGACCACCTGCAGCTGGAGCTCATTGAGCTGCAGTGTGATGCTGAGTGTCGCAGTCGGCACCAACAGCTCCCTCTTGTCAACTTTTACCACCAGCTGGATAAAGACAGGTTCCAAGAGGTTCGAACATTTGCTAAGAAAATGCTGAGCTTGTTTGGTTTGACATACTTGTGTGAGAAGACATTCTCGGTTATGAACATTAACAAGAACTGCGTGAGAACAACACTAAGTGACTTTCACCTGCGTGACATCTTGCGCATCAAAACCACTGTTTTTGAGCCAGCCCTGGCCTATATAATGCAGTCGAGATCTCAGTATCACCCTTCACATTAGTGCAGTTAAGTTATTTGCTTAGTCTTTCATAAAATAGTTCATTTGCATTTAACGTTAATGGTTCAAAGAATGTCAGGCTGAATGGTCGGCCCCCACACATTTGCACCTCACCAAATCTGGCTCTCCTTGCAAAAAGTTTGGACACCCCTGATTTAGATGAACTCTTGAGTGCTGGGGGCATGGCTGGGGTCTGGGAAATCCATGGCCACTGCTTCTGCATCAGCCAGAACACCTGCCCCCTGATCCCTGTGAGTTTCAACCTTGTTTATGGAGCCATTGCTGAAACCTGCACAATGGTTGGGGGGAGTGAGAAGAGGGGTTCTAACCTCATAAAACTCCTTCCAGGTTTGGGGTTCTTCCTACATCTGAGAAATCCTATGGCTCCTAGAATGCTCTCTTGAGATCATAGACCTGCTCTTAGTCAGGTGCTTTCATTTTGGAATGTAATGTTATTTCCCATATAGTTTAAAAAAATTCTAATGGCAAACAGTGCTGAGTAAAGGAAAATGTTGTTGCATTATGAATATAGCTTGTCTTTAATTCAGTCTCCATTTATTATTTTCTTACCTGAAATACTTGTTTTTACCAGGTCTGGCCAGAGCAAAATGACAAAGGCTGTAGATGCATTTAGTAAGTAACATTCCAAGGAAGACATACTACATGGAGTATTACCCTTAGACATTCCAGCATGTCCAAACAAAGCAAGGTGGATTTCAGATAAGATACTTGCTTGCAGGTGTTTTTAAGAATGACAGACAATCTGTATTTTCCTTCTCCAGCAATGACCTAGTTATTTACATTTTAAGAGTGTTACCTTTGTCTTATCCTTCAGATAGAAATGTTTTGTACTTCCTGGGACCACAACCTGAAGGACCAGCTGCTCCACATTTACCAACCCAGTCCCTAAAATCTGGCGAGGAGGCCCTTCTGAGAGAGCCATCCTTTAAGGAAGTAAAGAGGATGGCAATTCGAAGAGGGGCCTTCTCAGTGGCTGCACCCCATTTATGGAATGGCCTTCTGAAAGTAGTTCACTTGGTGCCATCTTTACAATCTTTTTGGCACCAGGTGAAAACAGTCCTCTTCCCCAAATATTTTAACAATTGATTTTATATTTGGATGTTATTTATACTGTCTTTAGCTTTAATATATTTTAACTTACTGATATCTGACTGGTTGCATATTTGAAATATTGTTATTTTATGAACTATTGTAATCTGCTTGGAGAGTCTTTGGACCAATATAATGGAATATGTTGAATTAGTATTAATAATAATGATAGTATAGCAGTCTGACATCTCCCCGGGTGGGGTGGGGGTTCTTGTATGCAAATATGCATGTACTAACAGACAAAGTCATTCTGATTGGGGAAAGGGTGATCCAGATCAGTTCTATTCCCTGTCCTTTAATTCAGCATTCAGTGAGGAGTCTTGTGTGTGTATGTGTATGTCGGTGTTTAACTATGATTTTTTTTTTTTTTTTTTTTTTTTTGCAGAAAGATCTATCAAGCTGTGTGGCACAAAAGAGATTCTGCTACTTAGCATCACAACAGCTTATACAGGTAACTGGAGTACAGACATGCCCCTTGGGTTTGTGTGGAAGCTTTGAACAGTACTTTTCTTTGACCAAGACTGCTTTGCAGTGCTCATCTGTCCTTGCCACTCCAAATACATTGTTATTGGCTGCGTTATGCATTTCTCAAGTGCTCTTCCTTTCCTTTTATTTGCTGAAGCTTTTGTCAATCTGTGTTTCTAGCCGTATTCCAGCCCCCAGCATTTTGCATCGTGATCCCATGGAGCCCTGGGGAAATCATGCACAGAGCTGAGGTTTTCTGTGAAGATTTCTTTGCAACCAAACAGACATTTTGCTTTATGCAGTGAACAGCTGTTTGTTTTGATGGTTGCAGTTGCTCTGGGCAAAAGCCCTGGCTGCATCTGTGGTTCCCTTGCGTACATTTGTAGACATTTTTGGGATGTAGCCATTTCTTCCTTTTAAGAGATTCCTTTCCAGCATGCCTAAGTGGCTTCTCCAGCATATTTTTCCTTGTCAGCATCTTTAGGAAGCTCTCTTTCCATCTTCCCACTTGTAGCAGACAGAGTGTTTGCTGCCTTGTGAGGCTGTGGCTGTAACTGTACTTTCTTAAGCGAAAATCTTTTTTAAAAATCCTATAGGCATGGGAGCTAGAAGCTTTTGCTGTAGGAATGGATATACACCAAATTCTAACAATTATGTTTGTTGAGAGTGAAAACAAATAAATGTGCAATCTTATGTATGTTTAAACAGAAGAAAGTCTTACAATCCTAACATTTCCTCTCCAGCATATTTCTGCCCAAACCTGCATAGGATTACACCCTTAAGCACATATTTTATGCACCTGAGTGAGTGATCTTATGGCTTCTAGACATTATTCTGGAGCTTTAAGGTAGTTCAGATTTCTAGCCCCAAGGTAGAAATCAGCGTTCTGACTTTAAGAGTTAGGAATTGGAGCTCTGATCACCTTCCCCTACCCCCTCACAGCCAGTATGAAAGAGCCATGGTGGTTGCTTTCCAGGTTTGGGAAGCCAACATTGGAGAGGGGCCAAAGGAGGCAGGAAAGTGGCAGAGTGGGAAGGAGACTGGTGTGGATATGTGGTATCCTGAAGTGGCTGAAACCCCTTTGCCTCCTCTTTGGAAGTGCTGTCGCTCAGTAGCTGAAGACAGCATCTAGCAGGAACGCAAACTAAGAAGAGTTCTTCCTGCACTGCATTGGATGTCCAGAAGCCTCCAAGTTCAGGGGACTATGGAAATCCCTATCGGATAAAGGCCATCTCCATTTTAACTGGCAAAATACAGAGCCAAGCAGCTCTGAAATAGAGTGTTTCTGGAACAGTTCTTGTCATTTTTAGCAATGCTACAATGTTAGCCCAAATAGGGTTCATATCCATGCTGGTGGTAATGGAGCACCATAGTGGTAATTATGGTTGGATCCTACACAGGCACCAACATTTACTACTTACCTTTTTTTGTTACTGGCTGCTTCCTCCAGGTCGGTTAGAGTACACAGTGCCACTTCTGGTCAACTTGGCTAGATGGCTACATAAATGAACAAACAGTTCTCTTAAAGGAACCATGATGTTCCTTTGACACTTCTGCTTCTTTCGGGTTCTAATGCCCATTTACCTAACAACTCCCTACTTCATTGCAATTATAGCAGTGTCATAATTTTAGAAACTCTTTTTTTTTTTTTGTTCATTCAACATGTGCGCGTTGAAGTCAACAGTCTTGTTGACTTACAGAGGCAATGAACTAAAAGCAGTTCTCCTGGGCTGTATACTTTGGCCATTGCCACTCAGGGAAATGCCACTACTTTAAGCAATGTATGGGGCAGCTGTTCGCTGTCAGGACGCTGCCTAGGGATGGCCAGCTTCTGTATTTGTGGAGACTTAGTCTAGTCTTGAAATACTGAACTGAGGGTAGAACACTCTGGCAGCTGCTGTGATACAGCTGCCATCAACTTGCAAAAGGGCTTCATATGCATGGTGTCCCGTGAGCCACCTGTGCACTGTGACTTGCTTCTTGGGGCATTCTGACTTAGGAGGATCTCATTAAGATACTGTTAATTTATATTATTTTAAGGAAGTTTGTTTATGTTTGTGAGCTGCCTCAAGGCTTCGGCGAATGGGGCGGCATAGAAGTTTCCTAAATAAATAAATTAAGATCCTGGAATTCTGCTACATTAATCTGGTCATTGTCCCAATTGGCAGTCACTCTTTGAAAGATCAGTGGTCAAGGATAAAGAAACGGTGCATAACCATGTCTGAAATGTTGCGTTTTTTTGTTTTTTTTCAAGGTCTGGAATTAACATTTTTCTCTGGAGTATATGGGACCTGCATAGGTGCTGTAAATAAATTTGGTACTGAAGAAAAAAGCCTTATTGGGCTCTCTGGTATTTTTATTGGCATTGGAGAAATATTAGGTGAGTTCAAACCAGAGCTGAGCTAATGGAACATATTTTTGTGTCCACAGTTGTATAAAGTACACGTAGCTAAAATAGCACAGCACAGGAATGGTCATGAAATGCATTTTGTATACATCTACATGATAATCTACACCACTTGCTTAACCATCGTATAGGAGCTGGGACATGGGCTGAGAAATTTATAGTTATGTCTAGTGATATTGGCAAGCCATGCGTAGTACTCACCATGGAGTGTGCAGGTTCTGCAGCCTGAGACTTTTGATGCCCAAGCCAAGCCACTGTTCAGTGTAAAAAGTAGCTGCCTTGGTTTCTGGACCAATGCAGGCAGCAGCTTTTGTCAGAGATTGAAACCTAGGTAGCAGATGAGGTGGGAAACCTGTGTTTGGATCCTATCACTTGGTTCCTAGCCTATTCCTTCTCCTGTATGATAGTGTTCTATGTGCATGGCTTTTTAATTGAAAAAACATGGGAAAACATTCAGTTAAGTCCCGCACCTGCTATCTGAATCGACGCAGCCACCTTGACTGCTGTTGTGAGTGCTCGGTCTTGGGAAACAAGGCGTGGTGCAGCATGGGAGAAAGAGGCTGGGGCCACGGCCTGCCTCTGTCCCAAGGCCAACCACATGCGTGGGTGTGCTTCTTTTGCACTATGGTGTTGGCTGCTTCCCAGGTCGCTGGACTGGCGGCAAAGCCACTGCAAAGAATTGGCGTGGCTGCGGATGAACCGTAACCATCATACTAGAGTGGCGCACTCTCATCCTCAGGCTTACAGAACACTTTCCTGTCAGTTTGGCTACCATAGCTGTAGGGTATAACTCTCACAGTGATTTAAGTTCTGTTGATGCTGAAGATAAACTTGAGTGTTTATTAGAGTTGGATGAGATGGTAAGTTGACTTTGGCTCTCCTATCCAACAGAAGTAGTTGGCAAATAAAGAATGTATTCACCTTGTCTGGACCGTGCCCTTTCTGTAGGTCCAGAAAGCAACAGTGGGTAGTATCCAGTGGTTCTTGCACGCTAGAAGGACCTAACTCTTGTGCAATGGGAAGCTAGAAGTCGCAGAAGGTCTTCCAAATTACCTGGCCTGCTTTAATGGAAGTAATCCTAAGAAGCCAGTGCTCAAGTCCAGGTCCTCTCTGCTTGCTTACTTGCTCCCTTTTCCTTGATGTAGCAGAAAAGGTTTGAGGGGCTGCTCTTATTTTTACACTTGCTGCCATAATTTACAAAGTTATGCTTTCTGATTGTATCCAGTGTTCGTCCTACTGCTTGGAGTGGACTTGTGGAAATGAATTGGACTTAATTTAGACAGGCCAAACTTATGTCCCATTCATTTCATTGGGTCTGCACTAAATAATAGGATTAACTCTGGGCACAACCTCTAAATTACGCTGTGAATGTTTGACTTACTGGAAATGATTTTAATTGTTCTTTTCCTTTGATGCCTACTCTGTTCCAGGTGGAGGAATCTTTGGCCTCTTGAGCAAGAATAACCGATTTGGCAGGAACTCAGTGGTGATGTTAGGCATTGTCGTCCATTTTGTAGCCTTTTACTTGATTTTCTACAACATACCAAATGATGCCCCCATTGCATCTATTCATGGGACAGACAGCGTAGCATTCATGGAACCAAGGTAGGGCTTTGTTTTCTGCTACTCTTGATCAAATACTGCTTTTAAGAGGTAAATAGAAAGAGATCTGTTTTCCCAACAGCAGTAATCTGGAAGTCTGTATGGTGAGCAGAGCCTCTGCATTCAAGTAGCTTTTTCCTTGCTGGGCACTCGTGAGTTTTGCTTTGTGGCATTGTAGCAACTGCAGCTCTTTGGATCTTTGAATTCTCTTCTGTCTGGATGGGAAGGTCAGCAGTGGAGCACCTGCACTGCAAGCAGAAGATTCCGGTATCTCTTAGTAGGGCTAGGAAAGAATTCTGCCTGAAAGCTTGGGGAGCCACTGCTGCCAGTACTGGGCTAAATGGCCCAAAGGTCAGGCTCAGTCTGACTCTGGCAGCATTCTCGTGCCTGCATTTAATACCTGTTTCTTTTATTGTAGTTTTTTAAAAATACTTATTTCCATTGTTTCTTTCGTAGAATAGCTTGTTCTGTCTGATGTCTTCCTGTATGTATGAGGGTTTTTCAAAAAGTTTCCGCACTTTTTAAAACTCCATTAAGAATTTCAAAAACACATTACGTTACTTTTCTACATAGTCACCTTCCTTTGTGATTCCTTTTTACCCAGTGTTGGACTGACTTTTTAATGCCACCAGCAAAATAAATATAAAATATATTTATGAAATATAAAAGTACGGAAACTTTTTGAAGACCCCCTCATACATTGTTTGGGAGGCTGTGGGGTTTTACGGGTTTACTCATCAAGTCCTATATTCTGAACAGATCGGCAGTTTTGACCATTTCTGAAAGTGTTTTCCCTTTCATATGGTTAGAGAAGAACGAGTTGCTCTTCAGAGTTATATCTTGGCTCATACTTCGAGCATTTCTGAAATGCATTGTGGCAACTCACTTGGCTGGTCTCCTGTCATTTAAAAAGGCACAGGCAGCCATTTTAACAAGTGATTCCAGAAGCTGAGATGTGGCGGAATCTGAGATAAAGTCAGTGATTCTCCGAGTCAGGCATGGTTCTCTGCCTCAGATAAGCAGCTCAGGACAGAGATGAAAGGCTATATGAGCCTGAGACTTGTTTCTCATTCTGGATTGAAAATGAGTACATGAGCATGGCTTCACCTTTCTTAATACAGATGTGAACTTCCTTTTAAACTGAAATTGGCTGGGGAATGCTAGAAGCTATAAGACTTTTTCTGGTTTATAGAGAATAGGATTAGGAATGAATAGGATTGTGTCCTTAATTGCTTATTTATTTTAGACCCCAAAGTTAGTATTTTTCATAATGTGAAAACTCATAAATAAATGTGGGCATATAAAGTGACTTTTTAAGGATAAGATTGTTGACGGTGAGCACTCAAGGCTTGTGCTAACTATATTTTTGTACTTCAAGCATGTTTAAAATGTTATCTGACGCATGCTTACACATGTCTGTATTAATAGCAATGCATAAATGGTATAAGAATTCTAATTTTTAGAATGAAACAACTGGTCAGTAACAGCTTGGATCTTGCAACTTTTCTCTATTTTTTCAGTCAATGCTGACAAAAGTAATGAATGATAGGATTGCACATAATGCTGTTTTCCACTGGCAGTCTTGTATATTTTGCTTAATAACGTTGTGGTTAATATTAGTTTACTTTTCACTTGCAGCAAAGAAGTGGCAATTTTTTGCAGCTTCTTATTGGGCCTTGGTGATAGCTGTTTCAACACTCAACTTCTTAGTATTTTGGGATTTCTGTATTCAGAAAACAGTGCACCTGCATTTGCAATCTTTAAATTCATCCAGGTAATATCTCTTGTCCAGTGGCAGATCCGGACATGTTGCATTTTTTGCAGTAGCCCATTGCAATGCCTTCTGTGCATGTACATGTAATGTTGTAAGGAGCGTAATGGCCATCTAGCTTTGGTTGGGTAGGGTTAGAAGAAGGCATCAGTACTGTAGCCTTTGTGCCAGTACAGGATCTTTGGGTAACTGAGATGGAGAAATTAAGGCTGCAACCCTCTGTTCACTTACCTGGGAATAAACCCCGTAAAGGCAGCAGTATCTGCTTCTGAATAAGCAAGCATCGGATTGTGCTGTTATCTTATGCAGGATGAAATGGTTAACGTAACAAGTAAAGGGAAGCTGGTGGACTCATAGCCATGAGTGGAGTCCATGTGTTGGTAGGTGTGCTGTGTAGCAGAGAAAGGCGATCCCATTCGTGTCTACCCCAGGCATGCACACTTTGAGTTCAGTGGGGCAGTCTTCCAGGTAAGTGGGTATAGGATTGCAGTCTTAATAAATCTAATGGGATTAATGGCAGAGATGGAAGTAGGCATTCCATATAAAAAGAAATTAAAGAATAACGTAGTGGAATAAATTGAACCACTAGATGCAAATATTAGGTTGTTGCTCAATCAACAAACTGAAAATGCTTGTTGGATTTGGGGCAGGCAAACAGATTGAGTCTAACCCGATTTGGCAGGAACTGTGCTGCTTCTGTGGCATGGTCATTAGAGAGTCCACCTGGGAACCCAGGAGATCCAACCTCCAGTCCAGTCACAGACACTCAGACCTAACCTACCTGTTGTTGTGAGGATAAAATAGAACAGAGGAGGTCTGCAGCAGCCTCAGTGGGTTCCTTGCAAGAGGAAAAAATGCAGGATGTAAATGCACCACCACCACTGATCTGAAATGGGCAGGTTTTAAAAACTCAGGAGGTTAACTGGAACAGTAACTTGAAATGGGTGATTTAAACTTTGTAATTCAGAAGAAAGTTGGAATGATCTTAACACTGTATTGCACCAAAGCTAATTTGGAATGTGTTCACTACTTCTCCACCTTCCTTTTCAGTCTGTCTGCGCAGCCATTGCTTTCTTCTACAGCAATTATCTGCTTCTTCAATGGCAGCTTCTGATTATGGCTGTGGTTGGATTCTTTGGGACACTTTCGTTCTTCACCGTGGAGTGGAAGGCCCCAGCTTTTGTCTCCAAAGCCTCTGATTATAGCAGCATTTGATGAAGGCGTTTTCATTGAAATGAGACAGTGTTCTCATGCAAACACACCCAAACACATTAAAAAAACTTGCTAACAGAAAAAACAAACACCAAAGATTTAAGAAAAGGTTCCTTTGTCAGCTAGTGGTAATGAAAATCACACGCTACAATGTGGAAAAAGGACCTGGTGACTGGGGCACAGAGGTGTGCTTTTTTTAATTTCTACTTTCAGAGTGCATCTTGGCTTTATGACTACCCATTGTAGAAATTTTACCATTTCCCTTTTTAATTATTTTCCTTTTTCTGTTTCTGAAGCCTTGCAAACCACAGCCTTGTCAAAAAAAAATTGTATGTATGAAAATATTCCTGCCAACCCATTGACCCAGAAGATGAATATACAGATGTATTTTGAGAAGACCAGCTCCATTTATGAAATTCTGTAGAAAGGATTCTACTGCTTTAATTTGTTTTCTAATCTTGTTTTTTCTTACAGTCTTATATTACAATGTGAAATAGCAACTTTTAAAAAGAGAGGGTAAACATTATGGGATAGTAACATAAGGGAATTAAATGCACATACACAGTATTTTCCTAAGTTTATGTGAAATCTAATCAGACATAAAAAGCGAGAGCCCCTGTAGTCCCAGTATCTTTCCCTGTATGTTAAGAGACTATATTATCTTTTTTCAGGATTACATTTGTAATAGAATTTGCTGCTATAAGATTACTTCAGAAATCCCCAAGGACTTTTCCCTAATAATCAAACAAATACTCTCATACCTTAGTGGCCTTGGTAAATTCAAGGTGACTTGCTGGATGCATGAAAAGAGGTGTCTTTTGGGAAAGTCCCATGTGGGATTTTAGCCTTGTTTATGTCAATTAATATTTTGGGCAGCGGCATTTGGGGAAAGCCTCAACTATTGCAATCTACCGTTTTTTAAAAAAACTAATTATGCTTTGAATATACTCTGAATGTCCTATTCTGAGTACACATTGCCAGGGCATTAAGGAAGAACATCACTAAGGACAATGACACAAGAATATCGGGGCTATTTAAAATGGATTTATACTGAATGTACAATGTAATCTAATGATACCTACTTGGAAATACGTCCTGCTGATTTCAGTGTGTAGGTAAATGTGTATAGGATTACAGCCCAAGGGTGCAGTCTCTTTGATTGTGCCCTGGATGCTGCTAAGTGCCAAACTCTGAAACAGTGCAGAGTGGGAAAGGCAGTGAAAGTACTCTCTGCCACCCTGCTCTTCCTACTGCGGTTCAGTGTGATGGCTGAATTGTCCATCTGAGTTGCTTCAGAGTGGGAGGGAAGGAGGCTGGTTTTCCATCAGGATACTCTCATCAGGACTCAGGTTAGTCCTAGTCTCCTCCCCTCCCTGTCCCCGCAAGGACACCCCTCTCTGAGGTTGGTTTCCTGACTTGGGAGAAGTAGCCAGTGTGATCAAAGCGCAGACCAGCTCCCCCAAGGTCAGGGACGTTTCCATTCTCAGAGCTGGAAAATGAAGTATCCTATGGTCCACAGATATGTGACAATCACATGTGTCTGTGCTTTTGCGTTTGCACAATAGACATGCAAATCCTCAGAAAAACTAACATTTGACTTGAATTAAGTTAATTTCCAGAATAATTCCATTGATGTCAGTGAGATTCCTGTAGAAGAAATTATTTGATAATTTCTATCTGCTCAGGGGAGTAATTTCCCAAGGGCAGTGCTGAAAGAGGGGGAAAATGTTTATTTTTCTTCTCAAAGGGTGATGGATGAAAAGGATGCTTCAAGGCTAGAAGTAAGAAGCTTACACTTAGAGTTGCTGGTGTGCAAGCCTCATGGGAATGACTTCATTTAGACCTCAGATAAAACAAGAGTTCAGTGGGTTGTGTTCAGAACTCTTACTGTGAAGTAACCCCACTTCATGCAGTAGGACTACATGAAAACTATGGGTTGAGGTTTGCAAGCTTAAAGGGAGTGCCTTTTAAATATATACTTGAAGTTTGTGTTCAGTAAGCTAATAATATTGGTAGGTGTATCTTTTGTAAATGTAGGATCAGATTTGTGCACATATATTTCACACAAAAACAAAAAGTAGTTTACAATTGCACTATTTTTTAAAAGTGTCTTCTGCGTATGGGTGAGTGTTACTATTGAGCCTACAATCCTCTGTGAGTAAACCTCATTGAACTCAGTAAGTCTGAATAGAATTGTATTGCTGGAGCAGTAAAAAGTAGCATATGAGGAAGGCTACAATCCTCTGAACTCTTACTTAAGAATGTATTACACTGATGTCAGTGGGATCTACTTTTGAGTAAATATAGTTAATCTGAGTGTATGACAACAGTCCCAGGTAATGCTTATTAGGGTGTAAGTTCTGTTCCATTCAGTGGGACATACTTCTGTAAGTTCATAGTGTTCCGAAGTAGACCATTTAAAAAATGAGGACTACATTTGTTTTTTGCAGACTATGACCAGATTGGAAAAGCAAGACAAGATATATTTAGAAAAACAAACACCAAAAATATATACAAAGATATATACAAGTGTTCATGCTGAGTGAATCCACAACTGCTCACCTGAGTTCTCAGTTGTAACAGAAAAAAACTTAGTAACATTTTCACTAACTACAGGAATAGTGTTGGCTAAACAGTAAGATACATAAAACTGACTGTCTCTGCCAGGAAACTTAGATAATAAAGGCACAGTCAATTCTCTCCTAATATCCTGATAGGACCTCCAATATAATAAAACATGCATTGCATTTTCTAAATCCCTGGACAACAGTGTTGCCATGAAGACTCTTGACTGAATCTCCTCTCCGACATAGCAGATGGTAAAGCATTTACATACACCAGTATAACTGCAGCCTGAGGTTATACATCAGAACAGTTTTTAGATAGTTAGCCCCTTGGCTCCCAGTAGGGAACTGAATGCCAAAAATAGAAAAAAATTAGCTGCCAGGAATATCAATGTTTGCCATGCAGTATTGTACAATCTTAACAAAAGGACTGTTCCTTTTCCTTGGAAGGACTAAATGGTATTGAATATGCAGCAAGGAGTATACTCAATATCATTTTTAATTGGATCACCAGCTCCTAACTTGGGCTTATTAATCAATACAGTCTAATGCTCTAATTGTATTTCAGAGGCAAACCTGTGGAGCCTACAACTTATTTTCTCCACGGAAATTTTGCAACAGACTGTTTCCATTAGAGCTGTCAAGCTGAATTAGTTAGCTGAAAGCATGGCCCTATGTTTGTTAAGACAGAAGTTCTACAACTACCAACATTCCACATCTTCTGTCTAAAAATGTATAGGATCATGCCTCTAGTCAATTGCTTTGTTTTGCATCACTGAACTGAAGAAATTACTTCTGAGTAGGCATGTATTAATCCATGGAAAAATAAACAAGTATTAGATGACCAACTATTTTAACTGAGTGACAGCCATAATTGTTTTTCAGCCTATTAACTATAGCAGGCTGTACCATTCCAGAGCCACCCAGTACCCCTTGTGGGTATTTTTACTGCTAGGAATGAAAGCATGGGTCTATCTGGGGGACCCAAACAGTCATTTTCTTCAAAGCCCATAATAAGGAAAAACACTTGACCTTGTCAGTGCTGCACATGATTGTGGTCACCTATGAAGAAGCATGCAATTTACTTCTGCTGTGTTGTTGAACTATGTCGTGAGTCCTAAAAAGGATAGGTGTAAATGTATTTCTGGCATCACAAAATTTATGATGCTGAAAAATGCACGCTGTGTTTGGGAAGATACTGTTCTTGAAATTGGCATGCCTCAGAAACCTTGCTCATTGCGGCATCATTATTGGTGATGCAATACTTTATTTTATTAGGTGTTTTAAACAAGTTTACTGAAGGGAATGCATCTCCATAAAATGCTATTTTAAAAATCATCCTGCAGGGACAAAGATTGTCTCTCTCTATATCTTTCTCTCTCAAGAAAATGAGCAAGTGAGCATGCGCTTCTTCAGCATACATGCATCCTAAATAGGCAGCCATAGTGATCACTGAATGATTTTTGCTACCGGATTAACCATCATAGCTCAAGATGAATTCCCAAGGGTCATTCTGCCATTATTTTAACAAGGCAAGTTTTATGCACAGACATCAAATTGTTAGTTTGTGGGCAACAGGAGACTGAGTCAGGGCCTTAAAAGATCCTGGGGGCGGAGGGGGTGGGAAGGAAGAGCATCATAGCATCTCCAGCTTTGACCCTTGACTAAGTAGAAACTGGAGGCATGCAGGCCCAAGAAGGTTATTCCTCATTTACACACCAGTGGTTGGAGAAGAGCTGCAACAATGACTCGGTTGTGAGCAAAGTCACTTAACTTTTATCAGGAAATATCTTTAAAAGGATGTATTGGGAACCACAACTGCATGGGCTAATTAGGCTAATTTTATTTGGTTATTTTACATTATGGATTGTAGAATGTCAGAACAAGTGTCATTTCCAGAAAGAACTGGTTGAACTTCCCCCAGCTGTTCATTTGATCCAGAAATGGATTCATGGTTTTTGTTGTTGTGGAGCGAATGAAAACCAAGGAACAGAGAACCAAATGAAGCAAAAAGCTCACAAAAATAGGGAGTTGGTGCCATCAGTCACTGCATCTCTCAGAGAGAGAGGAGACATCAATTCACAGAAACAACCTGAGGCTTCTTTAAAGAAAAATTTCAGCTGGGGAGAAGCACTGCATCTGCAATTAGTTTGAGCCATTAGATTTTATCAGCATGAATTTTGCAGTGCATTTGCCTTGATGTTTGGCATTATTCTTTCCAATCATAACAATTTTGTAAAATAGATTTTCTGGTTTTGTTCTAATTGCGTTTATGTTGATTGTTCAGGGCTGAGCAACTTTTGAATCTCAAGATACTTTGACCTACAACTCCTATGACTGTGCTAGCTGGGAGTGATGGAAATTGTAGGCCAAAACATCTGGAAGGCTTTAGGTTCCTCATCCCTGCTCTAGAACCTCTATTCTTTATGATTAAATGTATTCTGTTATATCACCTAGCCTGTGAAAATGTTGAGGATAGTTTTGCTTCATTTCTTTCCATTACACCTACCCATATAAAAGTGAATCACAACAAATCTATCTGTATTTTGCAAATAGGCTTAGAGACTTTGGGGTTAAATACATGAGATGGATTATGTACAAAATTCTTTGCTGTATCTGGCCTCACTCTAGAGAACAATTAAATTCATTCTTTGTTACATTAATAAACCATTTCACCAATGCTGTATGTACCTCTCATTTGATAATGGTGATAAATATTGTTTCACATATTATGAGCCATTTTATGAAATTAGTATTGTTGGGAAGAATATTAAAAGGTGGCTTTGTCACAGCCTTTTTAAACTGCCAACAACACTTATTTGGAATATTCTAATTTATGTATGAAAGTTTTCTAGGCTACCATATTGATACTTTCAGCACAGCATGGAAGGATAAGTAACAAAACATGAATATCACAATCATGAGATGTAGGCCAAAGCAGGTAAGATGAACAATGACAGATTCCTATCATGTGCTGGGATGCTTGGCAAAAGTAGATGCCATGACCTGGCACCAGTTGGTGTCAGCTTGGAAAGAAATATTCTGTAAATAATGTGAGAGTGGAGCAACAGGTACTCTGTCCTTTTGCCAAGCATCTAGTTTGAGATGGTGATGGCCCACAGGCTGGGAACATTCAATATACCTTCCTACCCCCTAAGCAGGGGATGCAAAATAGTGCAGCAACCATAGGACCATTGTACTAATTTTTCATGCAAGCAAAGTGATGTTCAAGATGTTTCAACCAGTAATATTACCCTACATGGAGCAAGACGTTCCTGGCATTCATGCTGGATTCTGAAAAGGAAAAGGCACTAGAGCTCATTTTGTATATTGGCTTCTGGAGCACACAAAAGAATTTCAGAAGATCAGTCTGTGCTTTATAGACTAAAGCAAGACCTTTGCCTGTGTAGATCACAGGAAGGGATGGATAGTCCTGAAAGAAATGGGCGTGCCTCGGCACTTGATTGTCTAGATGCAGAATCGTCCACTGTTGGGGCAGAATATGGAGAACATTGTTTCCCACATCCAATTGTGTCAGACAAGTGTGTATTTTATCTCCTTATCTGTTTAATCTGCCCACTAAACTTTTCCTTAAAATAATCTAATCAGGATTAGACTGGATTAGAATCAGTGAAGATTAGTGGAAGGCATATCAATAGTTTAGGATATGCAGATGAAACCATACTACTGGCAGAAAGCAATGAATTGAAATGACTCCTGATGAAAGTGCAAAAGCAGGACTGCAGCTGAATATTAAGAAAACAGAAATGATTATGGAAGAATCACACAAGTGTTATTAATAAACAAATTGAAATTGTGAAAGATTTGACATACTTCAGCTCAGTGATCAATTCAAACAGAGGCTATAGTCAAGAAAAGACAGTATTTGAAGGGCAACAATGAAAGAACTAGCAAAGATAATCAAAGGTAAGGTTTCTTTGGGAACCAAGCTCAAAATCATTCATGTTATTGTATTCCTGATCACTATATATGGGTTTGAATGCTGGACAGTGAAGAAAGCAGCCAGGAACGGTGCTGGAGGAGAGCTTTGCAAATACCCTGGGCCAAGAGAAAGACAAACAAGTTAGTCCTAGATGAAATCAAGCCAGAGCTTTTCCTAGAGGCAAAAATGACAAAGCTGAAGCTGTCATACTTTGGGCACATCATTAGAAGGCAAGACTCTCTGGAGAAGCCAATCATGCTAGGCAAAGTTGCAGGCAGAATATAGGATGGCTCCATACCGGAAGCCACAGACTGGGATGTACAAGAGCTGAGCAGGGCTGTCATGGATAGGACATCTTGGAAGGCTTTTATCAGCCAGAGACAACTTGACAGCACATAACAATAGAGATCTGGCAGAGCATCTCAGATGACACATGCACAGGGCTTATGTCTTTGTTTTAAAATGTAGACCCTCACTATTCTTTCTAAAGTAAATGGAAACGCCTCACAAAATGTTCATAGAACATAATAGTTAAAGAGAAGACCTTGGCGAGAATCCCAGTCAATCAGTGGTGGGACTTACAACAGGGCCTCTGCCCTTGAACACAGCTGATTCATATATTATTATTATCTCCTAGTTTTGAATGCATAGGATATGTTCAAATTCTATCTTTTTGACAAGTGAAAGTTTTCTGCACTGATTCCACATGCTACTTAAAAGTTTATATGTTTTTCTGGTAGAGGTTCTGGATCTTTAACAGCTGCCTGATGGGCAGAAAGCCAGCAACTGCAATCTTCCTAGCACAGAGCCACATTGGGCCAGCCCTTATTCCCCCCACCCCGCAAAAAACAACAATTTACCATGTACCTACAAATGTCCACTCAAACTATGTTCATGCTATCAATCAGCAGTAGTTAATTCCAGTAAAAATTAATGCAGTGCACTTTACACTCCATACTACAAATTTAATGGGGAGTAAACTGTGTGGATAGTAACAGGAATACAGTACTGCTGGATGAAACTCTTGCATTTTCACAGCACAGGTTGTAAGAAGCACTCTCAGTAAGTTGCCACCTTTCCAACTCTACAAGCTTAACAACCTCTCTCCTTTAAGCAGTCTCTAAAGCCTTTCCCGCCAAATAGACTATCCAGCCAAGGCATAAATTGTTACACTTAGAATTTATTTCTGCTATTGCACTGTCACAGCTGGTACCTGAATATATCCCGATGGGGTTTGAGGTCCTGACTGCACGCATTTCTTCCTTCTGTTCCCTATTCCAGTGACAAAGAACATTCTGAAACATTCCAACAAGCTAAAGTGAAACTAGCAATAAGGAGAATGTGATCCTGCCAATGGAGTGTTTGTTAACTCTTGGTAGCAGCTTTCTTAGTGAAAGGAAGCCACGCTGTGCCTTGACTGGTCTGGAAGGATTCTGTCCCACTTCCACCAGTTAACACTAAGGCAAATGAACTGGCTAGTTTAGAAATTGATTTGAAGATACTTTCTGAAAGAGACAGTCCCCCACACCCAAAAAAGAAAAAAAAAGAAAAGAAAGAAAAAAAAAGCATCGGGTGAAATGCAAATGTAACAATCCTGTGACAGAAAAAGCAATCCAAGTAAATGGACAATCCACTAAACAAACAGCTAGCAGTTTATCAAGTTCACTTCATAAACTCCATGTAAGAGAGAATTATATAAACAAGAAGCAAGTACTAAAAGTTTACTTCTGTCCTGTTCAGCTGTTCTCATTTGATACTGTTCATTGTATATTTAGCATGATTAAATATGCCCATGCCTTGCTGCACCACTCTTGATATCTTCAGATGAAGGGCAGTGTCAAAATAATTTAAAGACATAAATCATATGTCCCTCCCCCATTTGCCAACTAAGAAAGATGAGAACACACAGGAAGAGCATTGGTGATAATCTCCAGTCCAAGGTTAGTCAGTAGAGCTTAGGGGAAAGCAGTGTGAATTTAAAACTCTTTGAGACAGGATTCGAGTAGGTACAAGCAGTTTATTCCATACAAAAAGCGTTTGCAAAGGCTGTCTCAATGCCTTAGTAGTCTGAGAAACAAAGAGCAATCTTTTACTGTTTACAAGAAATTTTATACATTTCTTTCCCTGATGCTCAGCGCTATCCCCGCTTTGCCATTGGCTGGTTACTAAGAAGTCACAATCTACCCCATCCGCCTACATCATACTACTCCTTAATACGTTCCCCCCTCCCGCTCATACATCCCATGTTCATGCTAGTGAGCCAATGACCTATTAGAGGTGTGTCATGTACTATTTATGAGCCTATTAAGCATGCGCAGTACCTTCTAAGAGGTCAACAGGCCGAAGTGGCCTTGAAAATTCTTACTTGACGCCAAAACATGTCTTAAATCTTGTGGGGAGGATGAGATAATGAGAACAGGCCTTTCTCCAGGCTCGTTATCGCCAGTTGTAAAGTAATCCATTGTCTGCTCTCCTCCACTGAAGGTGACAGTTTTACCACTGTCCCCCAGTTTTACCCCTTCTGGTATTTTTCAGAACTTTTTATATAGGAAACATTATTAGAACAACCATTTACATGTTTTGATTCTCAGGCTTTATTTATTTATTTATTTATTTATTTATTTAAACATTTCTATGCCGCCCCTTGCCGAAGCCTCGGGGCGGCTCACAACATAGAATAAAATACAGCCTTAAGAGACTTCAATGATCCTGTCCTATTCCTGTTTTTCACCCTTAACACTTAGTAACAGTAACATTTCATTTCTCACAGCAGCATAGAGGGATGTGGGGGGGAACAGACCTGAGAGAAAAATTATGAGTGCTCCTAAAGTAAACAAGACATATAAAAACATATAACCACATAGCAAGAATGTAATATAGACTGAAAGTAACTGATAAAGGATGAATTAAAGGAGTAAGACAATGCAGATTTAAACAAAGCTGTCTGGTTTTTCTGAAACACAGCAGGTCTAGTATGACCTTGTCCTATCAGCCTCGTGGCAGATGCAGGGAAACTTCTGAACTGAGAGGCTTACAAGCATCCAGTGGCAGGAGTGACGTGCAGTAGTGAGCATGTTTGTGGCTGTCACATCCCATGCCTGTAAAGAGCCAGGGAAGTAAGGAGGCTCGGGCTCCAACTGGAATCAGGGTAAGTCCTTGGCCCACACTTCCTCCCCTCCTTGCCCCTAACACACCTGTTTTATTCCCCTCTGAGGTACATTTGTGTGGTTTTTCCATGTTAACTGCAAGGAGATGTTGGGAGGCCATTGGACTATACCCTTAGGTTTTTAAATTGTTTAAAATTGTTTAATTTGGTTTTTACATTGTCGTATTGAAACTTCATGACATTTTTCTTGCACTTGCATTTTGTACTGTATTTTATTGCCTTCCAGGCATTGTTTGTAAACTGCCCAGAGGGCTTCAACTATGGAGCAGCTCAAAAATAAGCAAAAATGTATAATTAAAAAGACTTACCTGAAGGGTTTTTTTCTGTCAAAACTAGCATAAGCGTGCACCCCGAGTGAGATAATTTATGCCTAGCTCAGCTATTTGAAAAAGTGGTAAAGAAGAGGATATCTCATCTGTTGTGTTCGCTTTTGGGCACCCAGCTTTTGAAAGAACGTTGAAGCTGGAGATGATTCAGAGGAGGGCAACCAAGATGATACAGGGCCTGAAAACTAAGTCTCATGAGGAGAGGCTGAAAGAACGGGCCTGTTCAGCCTTGAGAAGAGAACACTGTGAGG